GAATGAGCCAATTTTATTTTCTGTACTGATCTGAATGGAAAAATCCACCCTTTGTTTCATTCTGCAGCAGCATTGCAAGTTGCTTCTAGACAATCTGTTTAAGGAATATTCAGCCTGATTTGTTTGCATTAATTTTGCAGGGCGGCTGGAAGTAGACAATGTTGAAACATTGATTCTGATCTGTTTGTGGGGAGTTTATATGAAGTTGCATCAAGCAATTGTTATCCTACACATTCCAGTGCAAATTCCCATTCTTTCTCTTAACACAAGAAGTCTGGTTTTTTGTGGGGGTGAAGGGACAGGATACCCAAATCCTGTCTGAAATCACCCCAGGCTTCAATAATCATCCCAGGCCTCAAAATTGTCCAAAACTCCTTTTGTCTTCTAAAAATCCAAAACAGCTTTTCTCTGCTTGTCTCTGCTTTTCTCACAAGATGTTGTGCATAGGCAAAATGTTACTTTTAAAGGCTAATGAATAGGCTCTGTTCAAAGCAGGCCTGAGAAACGAATCTTATCTCATTCTAGTTGCAACTTCTTGGACATGCTTGGACATGCTGAACCACTTTCATTCCCCTTTTCTGGGAAGAGTCCAATAGTCCCAAGACAGCTTTCTGTTCATGCTCAGAGGAACTCATGGGCAGGACTCTGGGAGAAAGGGGGAGGGAACTGGAAAGGGGTATATATGTTTGTGCACATGACTGTGAACTCGTGCATGCTTTTTGTGAACTATCACACTTGCTCCTTCTACCAGTTCATGGATGGTAGAAATAAAAGCCTTTTCTCCGAAACTATTCCTTGAGTGTCTGTTGACTCCCACTTCCCTTTCCCGGGCGCAATATTTTTCCCACCCGAGGGCAAAGCCTCATAAGGCTACAGGGGGAGCAGGTTTGTTACACCTAAATTACACCATTGCCCATCATGGCTCCACCTTAATCCTCACCCCAAAGTAGCATTCTACAAAGCATGCTAAATATCTTGTACTTTTAAAATTACCTTAATAATGGTATTATCCTGCTGATATTTTGATTTCTCTTCCAAAAGGGACAACATGGCTGCAAACATTTTATAAATGAATCAGTTCATTAATTGTGCCCCCCCCCCCCGCTTTTCTGATTGCAAAATCATAAATTATTTTCCCAGAGTCAGTTTCTCTGCCAAGGTCACACTCAATAGAGAAAAGAGCTATGTGGTTTAATGGTCCTTGCACTTTAGCAGAACACCTGCAGCTTCTGATGAGCGCTAGCTTGTTGAAACACCTTTCAGCTTCTGCGGAAAATATCCAGTGGGCTAAGCAGATTACACTGAAAATTAATTGTACTTGGCTTTTCTAAATCTCTTTCCCCAAAAGTAGATTTGAAGATCCCCACCCTGCCCCGATGCAACATTTCACAAGGCAAATATTAATAAATATAGAATCATAGAATCATAGAATCATAGAGTTGGAAGAGACCACAAGGGCCATCGAGTCCAACCCCCTGCCAAGCAGGAAACACCATCAGAGCACTCCTGACATATGGTTGTCAAGCCTCTGCTTAAAGACCTCCAAAGAAGGAGACTCCACCACACTCCTTGGCAGCAAATTCCACTGTCGAACAGCTCTTACTGTCAGGAAGTTCTTCCTAATGTTTAGGTGGAATCTTCTTTCTTGTAGTTTGGATCCATTGCTCCGTGTCCGCTTCTCTGGAGCAGCAGAAAACAACCTTTCTCCCTCCTCTATGTGACATCCTTTTATATATTTGAACATGGCTATCATATCACCCCTTAACCTCCTCTTCTCCAGGCTAAACATGCCCATATCTGCAGGTCTGTGTGGCTAACCTATCAGGTTATTATCTCCTTGGAATGCTAAAGCTCTTGAAGCAAGATATAAGGCAGGGGGGAGGAACCGCCCAGGAGAAACTGCACCCACCTGATGTCAGATGTGACATTAGATGTGGGGCAGGTAAAGATGCAGTTGCAAACGAATGACCAGGAGTTTTAATGAGCTCCTGTTTGTTCCTTTGCAAGCAGGGCTTGCTGATTAGCACTCATATAGGCCGGCTGAAGGGACGCGGGTAGCGCTGTGGGTTAAACCACAGAGCCTAGGACTTGCCAATCAGAAAGTCGTTGGTTCAAATCCCCGTGACGGGGTGAGCTCCCGTTGCTCGGTCCCTGCTCCTGCCAACCTAGCAGTTCAAAAGCACGAAGTGCAAGTAGATAAATACTCCCGCTCTGGCGGGAAGGTAAATGGCATTTCCGTGCGCTGTTCTGGTTCGCCAGAAGCTGCTATCATGCTGGCCACATGACCCGGAAGCTGAACGCTGGCTCCCTCAGCCAGTAAAGCAAGATGAGCGCCGCAACCCCAGAGTCGGCCACAACTGGGTCCCTTTACCTTTACCTTTAAGCCAGTCTGAGGTTCTGGGGTCTTGGGCAGAGGGCATGGTGTGCCATCCTCACAGGCATGCTGGGTGGGGACAGGTGGTGATGCGGGAGAAGGCCTTCTCAGTGGCTGCTCTAAAACTTTGGAACTCCTCCCTAGGAAGGTTAGACTGGCTCTCTTCTTGCAGTCTTTCCTCCACCTCCTTATTCCAACAGGTTTTGGGGAACTGACAGTTTTTAATGAAAGGGCTGGTGCCATGTTTTTAAATGATTGTTTCTCTCTGTGTGTGTGTTATTAGCTCAGGGCCGGATTTAGGTTTGATGAGGCCCCAAGCTACTGAAGGTAATGGGGCCCTTTATATGTTCAGCTGTCCTTCGTCAACAACAAATTGTCGCTGTTTTTTGTGTTCAGTATATGCTATATGATAATTTATGGACCTAATAGGTATCTAAAGCCATTTGCACATAACAAAATATGTATTTTATCAAAGTAATTGTTGAACTTATCTTATATTTTGGAAATGTACAACCCGTTTTTTTCCCCTTTAAAATTTTTTGGGGACCCCAAGAGAGTGGGGCCCTAAGCTATAGCTTGTTTAGCTTATACGTAAATCTGCCAATGTATTAGCTGTTCTGAGTTTATCTGTAAGCTGCTTTGAGACCCTGTCAGCAAAGAAGGTGGGAAACAAACAAACAAACAAGCCCCATTGGGATTGGCTACTAAGGGGGTTTGCTGTTAAGCAGCCATCAGCTGAAAGTGACCGCATGTGAACAGTTAGAAATTAGCCAGGCGCGAGGCACATTTTGTGTCTGGAACAGGTCCAGTTGAGACCATGTGGAAATCTCTCGATACCAGGCTGGCAACTGGGGAAAGCAAAATGTCACTTAGAGAAGGATATGAAATATTTTCCTTGAATTTGTTATTTCCCCTGCCTGGATTGTTTAATTTGATGCTTTAATGTGTTGTAAATTGCTTTCAGATTTGTTCTTTAAAGCTTGTTCTTTAAAACTGCTTTGAGATTTGTTCTAGAAAGTGGTATAGAGATAGAGAGATAGATAGATAGATAGATAGATAGATAAATAAAACAAAACAATACAGTGGTACCTCAGGGTACAGACGCTTCAGGTTACAGACGCTTCAGGTTACAGACTCCGCTAACCCTGAAATAGTACTTCGGTTTAAGAACTTTGCTTCAGGATGAGAACAGAAATTGTGCTTGGCAGCAGCTAAAGTGGTGCTCCAGGTTAAGAACAGTTTCAGGTTAAGTACACACCTCCGGAAAGAATTAAGTACTTAACCCGAGGTACCACTGTAATAATAATAATAATTCCACTAAAACCAAAAAAGGCATCTATACATTCCATTGTGGCGACTGGAACCCAGGTTTAAGGTGCCATTTGCTGATTAGATTATGTATCTCAATTTCTAACACTGCCTGTGAAGGCACACTTTCATCACCAATTAGCTGATTGGTGCTTTGAGCCCCCTCCCCCACCTTTTGTCTATTTGCAGGTGCAATTTGGATTCAAACTGTGTCTGCAAATGGACAGCTTTCCTCTTCAGTCATGGTTTGAATCCCTTTGGAGGTGCACTGCTAGCTCCAGTGAGCTGATTTGTGCTGAAAACGAGTCCCTTTAAAATTGCCACCAGAAGTCACAGTGACATTGGATGGATGACAAGTCATCAGTGGCAGACTTTGGGCTTTAAAATTTCAGCATTGCCCTGTGAAATGCCATCCCCCCCCCTTCCGTCATTCATCAGTGTTATAGAGCCTCCTGCAGCAGCCTCTTGGCTCTGCAACCAGTGCAGGCAAACTGATTGTGCTCCCCCCAATCTGCCTGTGCTGCCTTTTATCCACAACACAGCCATTAATTTAATCCCATTCAACTGGTCCTATTAACTTCCTAATTATATTCACTTTATTTGACTTTTTAACCATCTTCCATATGCATTTTGTTTTTTGCCGCTGTTAAAATATATTGCATCTGTACTGTATGGTGTGTATAGATCTTGGAGGAACTTTGGTTTGTTGCAGCTGTTAGACTGAGTGCAAATCATGACAGACAAGGGAATCCTCGTATTACACATGGACTGCCACAAGATGGTGCTCCCCCTACCTGCTGCCTTTGTCCTGCTCCCCAGCATTGCTTGGTGAGGAATGCTTTAAAGTGACAAATACCCACATCTTTTACTTAGTCAGAAAATTTCCCAAAAGGATGCTGTGTCATTTGAAACAGATTTCTTACGTTTTCTGGGGAAATTAATCACCTTAACATGAGGAAAATCATATGCAAATATTGCATCCCTAAAGCTGGAGAACATCAGCAAACTGTCAAAAGATGGAGCTTGGTGGTCCCAGAAATGCCATTCCGCTTGCTTCAAGCATCCCACGCCAACTTCGCTTGGGCAACTCTTACACCACTTGTGGGATGCCCAGATAGATGGACCTCATGCACCATGATGTTAGACACCAATCTAATTTTCATTCCCAAGGCAGCATTTTACAGAGGTGGAAGGTTAATGTATTAACACGTCCATTTTAATGCATGTCTAACTCCTTGAACAAAATTGCTGAGCGTTAAAATCTGATTTATGATGACACCCTGACAATGGAAGTGGTTTTCTTTCTTTCCTTTTCTTTAAAACAAAAGATCAGCAAGTGAGCACCAGCAGTCATAGAGAACAGAAACAAAACTGTGAACCAGATGTTTAGCTCATTATGCGATGTCCTACATATATTTGGACCCTTTTGCCACAGATTGTAGGCAGGATATGTGTGTTGTGTGCGCAGCCTAGAATAATCTGTTCAGTTTATGAGATTCCCTCCCCACATTTGAGCCAATAGGCAGGGTCACCCTTTAGAACTAAAGTTATGAATCAAAATGTGCAGGCACAAGGTGGCTCTTTGACGTGTGCTGATAACATTGCCGTATACCGCCACCATCTGAAGGATCATAAGATCTGTTCATGATCTACAGATTCATTACAACTAATGAAAGCTGGGTTGTTGTTTTTTTGTGTGGTTTAGGGCTGGCATTGGAGGACTGCTACACGGCAGTATGGAAATAAAATTTCTAGTATGGAAATACAATTAGGAAGAAATCGTCACCAGTTCAGTCTTCTAGAGATCTTATTACACACATATGACCCTTTATTTACCGTATTTTGGGGCCCTCTACCCTGCTCACCCCCTTCATGAATCACTGCCTTTAAAATACCTCCAAGAAGCTTTGAGCTATGCTGTGCAGGGCCACCCAAGATGGACAGGTCATAGCCGAGAGTTTAGACTAAATGCAGAAAGAAGGAACTGGCAACCCCCTCCAGTATTTTTGCCATGAAAACTCCATGGACATGAAAAAGAAGCTTTGAGAAAATAGTGAGTTTCCAAGGCATGCTCTGGTTCATGGGGTCACAGAGAGTCGGACATGACTAAGACGACTAAACAACAAACAATACCCTACTCACAAAAGGATACAAATCTATATAAGACACAAAGCATGCACAATGTGGGCAGAAAATCCTATTGGCACCCCTACCAACAGGCCTCCAAGATGGCTATATTTTTACTTTTGTAAGCGAGTGATTAAAACCAGTAGGAAACAGCAGTGTGTGCAAAGTGGTAGCAAGGTCAGCATCGTGCAAATGCAGATCGAAAACATCTTGGGCTCCTGTTGGCGTATTTGCACTCCCACCACCCCTTCCCTTTCCGTAAGCAGCAGTAAGCAGCCCCTGCTGAGGGGCCAGGTAAGCACCTGCCCCATCATATTGCTCACTACCAAGGCTAAGATGATTTGCAAAGCTTATTAAAATGGAGGTCAAAATGAAAAGATGTCAGGAATATGAATGCATCCATTGTGGGTCATGCAAGGCCTCATGAGCTGTGCAATCTGCCCTCCCTTTCAGTCTAGAGATGGTCCACTAAGGGCAATCAAGTAGTGCAGTAGAATTCATGCATTACTATTGCTGGGACGTTAGGGCATACATGCAGCAGAATGACAGCATCATCTGAACAGGGAGCATTTTCTGGTTCGAGAGATGAGTCAGGGAAAATGACAGCTGCAAAGCAGTCAAGAAAGTGAGAACATGCATTCAAGGTGTCCCATGAAAATAAGTGCACCCAAAACACTTGTATCAGGGGTGGGGGAACCTTAGCCTGGGAGGCCAAATGTAGCCCTCTGCAGCAGGCATAGGCAAACTTGGCCCTCCAGATATATTGAGACTACAATTGCCATCATCCCTGACCACTGGTCCTGTTAGCTAGGGATGATGTGAGTTGTAGTCCCAAAACATCTGGAGGGCTGAGTTTGCCCATGCCTGCTCCGGAGTCTCCCAGGCCACCCTGTCCCAGCTCCGCACCCTCCTTGAGTGCTTGTGCTCGGCTGGAAGGTCCTTGAATTGTGATGCTTGCCTGGACGGACGTGTGTGTTTCTGCGCACATGCAGTGCAAGGTGTTGAACTAGATGACGCTCAAGGTCTCTTCCAACTCTACAGTTCTATGAAACCACCAGCAAGCATAGCTGGCATGCAGCCTGCTGTACAAAGGTAAGAGTCACATTCACTGCTCTGTCTACATTTGCCTTGCCCATCTGATAAGTTGCTTTGAAAGGGGTGGCCCAGGAGAGAATGGGGCTCTTGGGCTGAAGAAGGCTTCCTGCCCTGATTTAAACGTTACAAATTCAAGTACAAGTTTTGCACAAGTTCAAGAGAAGTTAGCGTGGCGAGGGGCATTTCTTGTGTGATGGTAACAGCACTTCTGTTTTTAGGGCTGTGGAAGAAACACATTACTTAACGATAGGATAATCACTTTTCATCCGTGACTCGAGCAGAAAGCAAAACAATTCAGAGAGAAAAATATGCCAATAACTTAATAGTTTATTAGTCAGTCAACAATATTACAAATATTTAAAAATTACTTATTATATAAATAGTTGGCAGCAAACTATTCCATTACAGAGTTAAATTACCAGTACAACAGACAGACTGGAGATTTAGACACCTGGAAGATAACAGTAAAATGAACTAAAATATTTTAACAGAAGATTTTAAGCTGAAGGCGATTAACTAGAGAACCAATCTGCCAGCACCGCTGCTGGGTCACCCCATTCATTTCACTGGGACTTTTATGGGGCTCCACTGAAACCAACGGAGGGTGCTCAGCGACGGTGCTTTGTGCATTGGTTCCTTTGTATCCATAAAAAGCATGGGTTTTCTTTTTATTTAGAAAAAAATAAAAACTGTTTTAACACCACATTAGGAATACAAAATAAAATTAACTGAAAATATTAATTTGCATATCAAAGAACCATTTATAATTACAATCCAAACACTCCATAAACCACTTGTGCGATTCTTTACAGAAACTCGGAATTTAGAAACTAGTTGCTTTAATATTACAAAGATTTAGGCTCCAAAAATAATTCAACATAAAATAAACTTTTAGCAATTAGCGTCATAAAATTATATATTTCCACATAAAAATACAAAATAATATTAATGACAAGAATATGAAAAATTATTCCAAGTATTTTTGCTATTTGAAATAAAACAAACAAACAAAACCCAAAACGACAACAAAATAGAAATATGCATGAAAAAAGTCTCTCCTTTTGTTAGCAAAACACTATCCAAAATAACTACGATCATTTACATCAGTACAAAGATTTCTGGATTTTAAAAAATATTTGCAATGACAAAAGGGGTTTTCTTTTCTGACAGTAAAAAATGACACTGTGGATAAAATTTGCAAAAGATGCAATGAAAAAAATAAAATTTGCATTAAAAAGGTTTACACTGTTATTCTTTTTATACAAACATTAGAAACAGTATTGCACGTCACAACACAGAATCGAGGTTAGTCAGCCTTCCAAAATGTGTTATATTCAAGTTTTGTAGCATCTTTGAGGAGAGGCTCTGTGCAGCCAGATGCAACAGGGAATAAAATATCAAGTGTTTTCCATACACAAATATATAAATGCTAAATGTTTCCTTCTTAACAAAAAGTGTGGACTTTTAAAGTATTTTTTTTCTTCCACAGTCATATGTTTGGGCAGCAATATGCACATTTGGGGAAATAAAAGAAGCTTTAAAAATACAAAAATACAATAAAATTAACAATCTCCTACAAAAATAGTAAAATAAATATGATTTATATAAACAAAAACCAATACAGTGTTGAACAGTTAAGAAAATAAGGGCACAATCCACTAGGGAAGTCTCTTACATTGTTATCCTGCCTTGAAACAAACAGGAGCTGTGCAAAAGCACATTATCTCAGCCTCCATTGAGATGAATGTGCCCATTCACTTCAAAGAGTGCTGAGGCAGGAGAACTTCCAGGGGGACTGTGTCCTAGGAACATGGATTTAAAAAGGAATAAAAAGAGGAGATGCAAGTTACAGGAGCTATTAGCCTCAATAGCTCCAGAAATGAAGTGAGAAGCATAGCCTGATATTTAGAATAGTTTACCCATACCAAAGAAAGGGCACCACTGTTTTCTTACAGTTTTATTTGGGGAGAAACAAAGGATTTTTAAACATCTCCAATTATTTCAATTTTCCATATTCATTTTCATTATTTAAAACATGTAAAGGCTCTTTAATTTTAAACTTCAAGCAAGAAATATGAAAATAAAGTTAAAAACATCTGCGGAATTAAATTATATCTAAATAATTAACATTGCAAAACTACTGATTTTTTTTTTCATTTCTAAATTCCAAAAATTGAGGTATAGCAAAGGAGATGTCGTCAGTCAAAAAAAAGTGTGCCTTAAAATAGCTGACTAGTTGGAAAAAAAATCTCTCACAGAGATATAAAAATAGTGCATAACAAATGTCAAAAATGGATCAAGGTCTGGCAGGGTTTAAGGTTAGAAAAGAATACTCCAAAAAATCTGGAGGATCATGGTTAAGTAACAAATAGGGTACACTGACAACTAAATCAGTTAAAAAGCTCTTCTTAAAACAGCATCAACTTTAAAACTTTAAAAACTTGAACCACAACCACAACGAAACAGCAGATTTAGACATGAAACCACATATTGAACAGTACCAAAAAGCACATTGCAGACAACCAATATAAGAGCAACACTTTGCTTACATGAAGGATTGTCCCCAAGGGATTGCCAAGGGCAAAACCCTTGCAAATTTCTCTCTTGGAATAAGACTTTCAATTCTGCACTGGGTGCTTGCTTAAACTGTAGAGTGGCTCTTTCTTCCATTGAAACATAAGGGCTAGTTGCATTTAAATGTTTTGTGGAGGACAAAAACACTGCTAATGAATTTCTTGCATTTCAATCCAGAAACAGCCCCACTCCCTCCCACCCCCTCAAAAATCTTGCAAGCAATGTCGTCACTTAGAACTCCTTCATCAAAATTAAAACACTATGCTTGACTGTCCGTCAACTAACTACATTTCATGCAACAGTGACCCTAGTTTGACAGAAGTCTTAAAAGCACCTAAGGTCAAACAAGCACACACAGTTTAAGCCAGATTTCACTGTTGTCTTAAAGGTAAGATTTAGCTTATGCAACTAGCTGTCTGTATATTACACCATCTCCATTTTGACTTTATTTTATTACTAAAGCATTAAGTTTTCTTGTATGAGCACATTTTAATGCTCATTTCTCAGTAGTTTCCCATTTGGTGACTGGTTAGCAGTGGGCTGGCCATCTTTGGTTTGTAAAGGAAGTTTTAACCGTGAACAATCAAGAGGGCTGAAATAAATATAAATCTATTTAAAAATCTAGTAATTTTGCTCAAACGTGTCTAAGCTACACCACTCCACACTAATTAGAACCACACATCACAAAGTTGCACAGGGATTACAATATTACATCCAGTCTGCAAAAATTGAATTCCACTACCAACCAGGTCACAAAATGGCTGCACTTTCTAATCTAAAACTAGTTTGCATATTGTACACATGTAGGACATTTTTAGAGAAAAAAAACTTGAGTCACAATAATGCATGCAAGTGTCTTTTGTTACAAATTTTGCGGTTTGCTCATGCTATCTAGATTTCAGAGCATTAAAAAAACATTTTCAATAACTCACCTCTTGTTAGATCTAGTGCATGCAAATGGTGTATACAGGTAAGTAAACATGCAATTTTTCACATTCTAAAACTATGGCACTTTATGCCATATTGTGCTGCCTGCATTTTAATCGGCAATGCAGTGTATCTTAAAACGTTTTAATCCCGTATTAATAGGTGGCATTACACACAACACCTATATAGCAGCAAAGCTAATACAGCTTGTGATTATAAATGTTTAAAAATAGCTAATAAATCAGATTATCTTGAGGTATTATTTCTTGCAAGTCAAAATGGAGAGCAAAAAATCAACCCTATTTTTTTTAATCGATGTATACACTGAAAATAGCAACAACAATAAAAATAAGCTTTTTTGTAGCAGACATATCCCATCTTCACTATTTTTGCTACCTTTGGTAAATTACTAGGGCAGATCTTGAAGTTAAAAACCCATGTTTAGAAATAAGTGCACGCTTCACCCACTAAATATAGCAGCAGACAGTGTGCCCCTATGCAAAAACATTCTCATATCTAGTTTTAATTTTACATATAAAAATAAGTTGGAGAAAATACAAAAAAACATTTTTTTTTATTTTAACATGAAAATATCACAAAAATTATTAAGCCTGAGATGTAGGGTTTTGGTGAAAAACAAGAGGCTTTGTAGTGTTTTGGCTGCTGAAAAAGATGCATGTATTGAGAGTCGGGGTGAGAAGCAGAAGAATGCACTTATTTCTTCTGCATGTCAGTATCTTCAAACACGGTAAGCCACATGCACCCTTTGTTCCTTAAGGAGATGCTGGAGAAGCAGGCTCAGTTCCAGCGGAAGTGGATCTGGCGCGGGCGGTCAGCCCCTTCCTTAACCAATGGCTTATGGAATTCACGTCCTGCCCGAGAGTGGATATTCGCCCAGCAAAACTCACAGTAATACTGCAGGCAAGTGACATTGGCACAAAAAAAGGGAGCAAACTTTCCACCACACCGTGCGCCCTGGCATTCGTCACACATCTGGTCATCCAGCACATATGGCTTCACCTCCACCTGTTTAAGAAACAAGCGCACAAGAGGACAAGCGATCGGATTAGCTTCACATATCGTTGTTAAATTTGTATCCTTTCTTTTCTCCAGGGAAATCTGGGTGGCATAAAGGAGCTCGCCCCACGAGGACGGTGCACATCAGTTAAGTTATATTAGATAGTGGCTGGCCCAAGTTAATATAGTGAGCTTCATGCTGATGCAACCCTTATTTCAAATTTAACAACTGATCCACTTCATCACACCAGGCCTCGAGGGTTGTTTTTTTGTGGGAAATAGGGATAGTAGTGAGAAGCAAAGAAGATGTATAGTATTACATCTGGACTCGGGTCTTAAAATGAAGAAGTAAAAAATTATCAGCAAACAATTTGGCTTGCCCTCTCAAATTTTGCCAGGCACTTTTGCAATCGTTTTATAGATTATAAAATTAGAGAGTTTACAGTAAAAATCAGAGCCAGGAAATCAAAGCAAATAAGTGAAAAATGACACCCCCCCTGGCAAATGGGTTTTAACTAGGGTTCACTATGTATGTATAATAAAGTTAATCTATTCAGAATCCTAGTCCAATATACAACTATCAACAAATTGTGAAGATGTGCTGTGAACATGCACACACACACGTGAACCAAATTTATAATTGTGAGTATATGACTCTAATGTTGAGTTTTTGTTCAAAAAATATTTACTTATTTAAATGACCCTGAAGTGTATATGGATTGTGTCACTCATTTAATAAATCTTTGTGGTTGAAAAATATGACATCATCATCAAGGTAGCTACCGTCACAAAAAAGAACAAAATTCATCAGTATCTATTGGAGCAGGTTCACTGTGTTCCCTCTCACTGGAAAGGTCTTTCCATGTGCTACAAAACTTTCCATTTTGCTTGAAAACCTCCCCTTTTAATTTTGGGTTAAAAAACCCCACATTTTTAGAAGTATTACAAAACTGACAGCTTAATTACAATTGTTTATTGATTTAGTGTTTGCATTGCAGATGCCCCCCCCCCCGCCAAATAGAAATGTCTTTTGGTGAGGAAATAATTTAAACATCTCCTAAGTCCAAGAAACATTTTTTCTGGAACACGTTCTATTATAGAAATACCTTTCCAAAAGAGTTTAGTGAATTAATTGGTTGAATAGATAACTAAATAATGTAACTGTGTCCACCTTGATGATGTAGTCACAGCTGTAAATAACAGCTGAGAAAGTAACATCATAGATATTCTTCAACTACCAATATTTATGAATCAAAAGGAACTATATATAGTTAACATTGCATTTGATACTGAAGGATTTTTCACACATTATGCTTGCAGACTAAATGTGAAAGTGTTAATAGACTCCACCAATGGTCAGAAATGTAGAGATCTTATTAAAACTTCTGCTAATTAAATCCTAACAAGAGACAGGATTAAAATGTTATATTTTATCTATGCAAAGAAGAAATATGTAGGATGGATGTTATCCTTTTCTTACTTGAGTTGTAGTTGCATCAAGTAGTTCTGGATCATTTTCTTTCCTTGGCTAACTTGTTTATTCTTTACCTGACCACTCTAGGAAAGATTCAGTAGCATTGTAGGTGGGTGAGGTGTTTATGTTCTATTTGCTAAAAGCCTTAAAATAATCCCAGGCCTTTGCTGTTCATTAATGCCAGCTTGTTGTGTCTGCCCTGCAAATGCTGCTGTATTTTAATGTATTTTTATATTGTTGTGAATTGCCCTGAGATTTTTTTTTTGAAAGAAATCATTTTAAATAAACAATTTTCCAATATATGTTCTTGTTTACTTATTGGTGGTGCTTTGGTAGCCCCAGCATCTTCATTCTAACACTGCCAGCTATTTCTCAGCATGTTTTTATAAAGGTGTCTGCTAAGGTTCAGTGTGGATTTTCAGGCTGCCAGAGAGACACCAACCAGTCTTGCATACTGTTTTCCTCCTCAACAAATCTGCCTGCGCAAATGGAAAAATGGCAGAGGTCCAGTGCCTAATTTCCATGAGACCAGTGCTTGCTGCTGAACTGTAACAGATTGTGTTAAGGAAGAAATCGGAACCCCGTAACAAAAAACAGTTCAACATATTTTTTAAAGAAGACACTTCATGTTTCTCTTTTGTCCCTTATACAGTGAATAAACCAAGAGTTTACAAAAGTTGAAGTAAACTGTTGCTGCAAACTGTACTGAATCATTGTAAAAACCTTGATAGCGGAATGCAGCTGTGAAAAGATGTTATTTGTTTCAAGTGACTTAACTTCAAACTACACCTTGTATACTGAAGATTCTTGAAATACCCGGATATAATGTGAAGAACATCCATTTCAAATTATATGGGTGGGTTTACAAAAGAAGACTTTCCAACAGCATAATGCGCAGCCTTCACATAGATGGTGCCCTTTTGGGTTAACATGGTGTGGCTGTTAGCTTGTCACTGGCAACACATGTACCCAAAGCACTTGTGGGAGGGCACTGAGAAATCCTTACTAATTTTGCAAAAGGTTAGTATATCTGAATATAATCTTTTAAAAACTAGATGTTACAAGTTTCTAAAAACAGCTTTTATTTAAATTGACGTATTCTGTGATGACCAATAGTTTCCCACAAATAAATTAAACTGAGAACTCCCCAAAAGTTGATTGTTCCTGTGTATCTTTCACAATATGATTTATGTACATGTTTAGACTTTCAATCGAAGTAGAATTGGTGTGTGTGTGAAGGGGGTGGCATTGTGCATGCTGGCTCTGACTCCTTGCTGAACTCAGTGTCCATACAATCCCACCTGTGTGAGACCTAAAAGCATACTCCTCAACATAAGTGGACTTTGTTCCTTCAATTTTTGCAAATACATGGAAAATCAGTGTGGTGAGGGTGTGTGACGAACCGGTACAGATCAAACATATGTAGGCATTTGACACACGCCAGTCAGTACAATGCGCTATTTGCCCATTCAAACTCTCAAAGATATTCCTAAGAATTTGGATTGGGGTCGACAACCATTTTATAAGCTCACCAAGGGGCCAATGTACACAGAAGTTTTGGAAACCTTGTTTGGTGAGACTTGTATTCGGGATACAGTTTCACCTCGGTGTAGCTTTTCTGGCACCAAAATCTCTGTGTTGCTCAGATTTTGTAAGTCACTGTTTGTTGCTGATTGACATGATCAGATGATCTAGACCAACTAAGACCTTCCGTTATCTATCTCAGGCACTCTGCTGCCAGAGATCTTACTGTGGCAACCCCTCCCCGCCTTCGACTTGCTTCTTGTCATGCTAGTCAATGTTTTCACTAAACAACTTCTTACATAACGAAATCAAATCCAAATGTTGCCCAAATATAGGTTGAACACAAAACATAGGTAAGAATCCCCTTGAGATAAATATTCAATTATCAAAGCTTGACAGAGATAATTTCTGACTGACTGTCCACTTTTGGCTTTTTTGTATGAATCATGCATTTATTCATATATGAACCACCTTGTGGCTCAGTGTCCATCAAAGTGACTTCTAATACACAAGAAATTAAAATAAGCACCATATGGTTCAGAGAGAAGAGAGGTTTTCAAGAAACCAGAGGAACTGGAACTACTGCATAGGGAGATTGATTTATTCTCCTCTTGGCAATGTTACTGCAAGGTCTAGCTTGACTTGAATAACCTGCAGAGAGACAGTAGACAGGGACCTGTGACTTATTTTGGGAGGGCAAGGGCTGCTGCCCTACTGGAAATTTCCCCAGCTGTTGTTGAAGGTTCACCAACTGAACACTGGAATGAATGTCTCTCTGGAAAAACATGCTGAATGCTTCAGGAATCATCTACACGTTCATTGAAATCACATGTTGATGATATTGGACGGAAACACGCTATGTAGCAGGAAACATATTAAAAGATAGGGCAGTGGAGATATATAATTGGCATGTGTGTGTGTGTGTGTGTGTTTTGTAAGAGCAGTGCTTTTTCAGGGGGTACTCAAGGATATGCAGTACCAGCACCTCTCTTTCTTTGGTTAAAAGATGTGACTCTTACTGTAACAACTTCATGGTGAGTACCAGCACTTACTTTTCTAGAAGAAAAGCACCATGTAAGAGCAAATGCAGTTCCAAGTTCTGGAGCAGGTCTATGGCACCATGGGAGGGATATTAACCCTTCAATTGATTAGAGCCAGTTAATCTTAACATCTTGTAAGATCCTGACATCCCACACAGACACTAGGCAGTAAGTTTCTCTTAACGGCAACTGGCTTGCAGCCCAGGCTGTGCACATGCGCACACACATACACCCTTTGACTTTGCACCCAAGTAAAGTGCCCCCTCCCATGCTTAGACCCTCATATGCTTTTCAAAATGCAGTCTGTCCAGTTGGTCCCATAGAAAATAATAGTTGCTATGAAATACAACAATGTCATGATTGATATTAACTTGATACAACTTACTCGTTTATCAATATCACCATGCTGAAGCTGAACAAACCGAGCACTAATAGCAGCAATGTAGCTCTGCTGATTGGAAAAAGCAACTCGCCCAGCACCTTTTGGATATTTGAGTTCAGGATCTGTATCAATTCCTGCGTAACAAACTCCACCATACAGACGGTCCATTATCATGGCTAATTCCACTACAGAAGAAGAAAAAACATTGCCGTAACATTAAACTAAGTTGATATACTTTAAATGGGACACATATTTATAAACTATAATGGATTATGGGATGGGAAAACCCATAAGCCATGGATTCTGTGGTTTGCTGAACAGCAAAAACAGTGCCTAGAATTAAGAGTTAAGCTAGCAGCGGTGGGACAAAAGGGCAACTTGTACTGTACAAGGCTACTGCACCAGGCAACACCTGCTTGCAGTGCTGTTGTGTTAGCAAGGGGGATAACACCCACTGTGGTGCAACAGTATTGCACAAATAGCAATTTGCAGACAGAAGGAGACAGGTTTACCAGTGGCATTTCATGCTGCCTACTACAGGCAGAAGTAAATGTCTAGACATTTTGTTGCAGTTATTTTTGTTCAACTGCTAGCAATAACCTGCAGTGATGAGAAGGGTTTTAGGACTGCGTGGTTTTGATCCCACGAGGTATTTGCTATAGTCTTTATGGTACAAACTTGTGCTTGTACCCATGCCAACCAAAGAAGATTTGGTTTCAAGACACAATTATTTTACCCAGAACTACCTATTAAAAAAGCTGAGCTGAAAAGTAGCTTTCGTTCAGGGCCAGCTCACATGGTTATAAGTGCTATATGTATTCCATCATTCACATGCAGACCTACTTTACACAATGATATTCATGCAAAGTGAACCCATGTAGAGTGCATCTGTGCCAGAAATGTGAAGGGAAGAGTGTGGAAACTGGGGATAGGCACACTTGATCCATTATATATGTAGAATCCATAGCTAAGCAACTGTATTAATCCAATCCATGCATTTACTACATTTAACCTACTGTTTCTTCTGAGTTAATCTATACTGGAGTGGGAACATTCAAACTGTGGGCCTAACTTGTCCTGCCAGTTTTCCCCATTTGGCTTTTTGCAAGTATCAGCACGGGGAGGGCCTTGCAAGCCTTCCCACATTCCCCTTTCAACCTTTGATGTCCGGATTTTCATAGGTGGGCGTGGCCTATCAGTAAATTGTGATGACAAATGATTGACAAGGGGGCTGCCTTGTTCACCTTTCAAAGTTGGCCCACAAGGTGCAGCCAAAAAGCACTGACACAAGCACCTGTTTGATAGCACATCCCTAGCAAACACTTATGAGAATGCCTACTAATAGCTCTTTAACAGTACCTGACAATATGTGAAAGTAACTTGACGCATTTTAAGATTAACAAATTTATTATGGCATAAGCTTTTGTGGACCACAAAGCACCACATCTAATACATGAAGCATAATTCTAAAATGGCAAACAGATGGGGTGGGGGAAATGTATAGGAGTAAATGAAATGCAAAAAGAACAGGCAGTGACTATTACCGTATTTTTCGCTCCATAGGACGCACTTTTTCCCCTCCAAAAATGAAGGGGAAATGTGTGTGCGTCCTATGGAGCGAATGCAGGCTTTCGCTGAAGCCTGGAGAGCGAGAGGCATCGGTGCGCACCGACCCCTCTCGCTCTCCAGGCTTCAGGAGCTATCCGCAAGCCTTGCAAGCCCGGTGGGAGTTCCCGCGGGCTCACAAGGCTTGCAGGCAGCAGCCTGCAGCCCCGGCGAGTGTGCGCAAGCCTTGCGCGCCCGGCAGGAGGTCCCGCCCGGCGCGCAAGGCTTGGGGCTGCAGCTTGTCGCCCGAGCACGGGAGCCCTCCGGAGGGCTCCCGTGCTCGGGCGAGTGTCCGCAAGCCTTGCGCGCCCGGCAGGAGGTCCCGCCCGGCGCGCAAGGCTTGGGGCTGCAGCTGTCGCCCGAAGCACGGGAGCCCTCCGGAGGGCTCCCGTGCTCGGGTGAGTGTCCGCAAGCCTTGCGCGCCCGGCAGGAGGTCCCGCCCGGCGCGCAAGGCTTGGGGCTGCAGCTGTCGCCCGAGCACGGGAGCCCTCCGGAGGGCTCCCTTGCTCGGGCGAGTGTCCGCAAGCCTTGCGCGCCCGGCAGGAGGTCCCGCCTGGCGCGCAAGGCTTGGGGCTGCAGCATGTCGCTCGAGCACGGGGAGCCCTCTGGAGGGCTCCCGTGCTTCGGGCGAGTGTCTGCAAGCCTTGCGCGCCTGGCAGGAGGTCCCGCCGAGCGCGCAAGGCTTGGGGCGGCAGTCTGTCGCCCGAGCACGGGAGCCCTCCGGAGGGCTCCCGTGCTCGGGCGAGTGTCTGCAAGCCTCGCGCGCCCGGTGGGAGGTCCCGCCGAGCGCGCGAGGCTTGGGAGGCAGCCTGCCGCCCGAAGCACGCGAGGCTTGGGGCGGCAGCCGCGGGGGATAATTTTTTTAATTCATTTCCCCCAAAAAAACGAGGTGCGTCCTATGGACCGGTGCGTCCTATAGAACGAAAAATACGGTACATAAAAGGAAAATAGTTAGTGACCAATTAACGAGGCAGTGTAAGTAACAGCACATGCATCCTGGTATTGGTACTCTGTCATATGTAGCTTTTAAAAAAAAGTATAATCTTGATTCAAGCCATAGGTGACAGAACTGATTTGCCTAATAAATTTAATCCATCTGATTCTCTCAGTGGAGTTTCCTTTTCAATTGTCTTTGTTCAAAAATGGTTATCTTGAGGTCAGTTACACAGTTTCCTGGTAGACTGAACTGTTCACCTAGTCATTTCTGGATATTACCAAAATGTCAGATTTGCATCCACTTATTCTTTTGCACGGAGATAGATCTGCTTGTTTTATGCAGAGAGCAGAAGAACATTGCTGGCAGGTGATGGCCTATGTCACTTCAAACGATGAGAAGGTATATGAACTCTTGATGCTGTGGCTTATGTTCTGTAATAGTGTCACCAGGGCAGATCAGAGGAGAACACTGGGATCTCAGTTTACTGCACAGTCTGGTCTTCCTGTTTGTGTCTTTGTTACGTGGCCTGTTGTTGGCTGAAATCAAAGTACTGTACTACAATTAAGCTAGCTTGTGAACAAGGGTGGTATGTGTGTTTAAAATAATGCAATGATAGTGCAATGTTAAAATTTGCTACAGTGCTTTAACAGTTCTATACTTACCAGCTCGTAATGGCCTGGGGACACCACCAACAAAAATTGTTTTTCGGGGATCAAGAGGCTGAGAACCATCCATCACAAAGTCACTATCACTTAAGTTCCAGGGACGGATCTGGACCTATTAAAACAACAAAGAATAGATTTGCATATAAAGTTTTCACTAGATGTAGATGTAGTTTATTAATGCTTGGGACACAGGTCATTCACATGCAATATAAATAGGTTCAGTACAAAACCTAACAGTATAAAATACTGTATAAAACCACTGTGCTACCCAGAATCATACATAAAACCTACATCTTCACAATACTACATAAATCACAGTAACATATATAGAACTTACAAATTGAAAGAGTAAAATTTAACACAGATTAAAAACATTATTAAAATATATTAAGGTTAAACAAGAGCATCTCCAAAGCAGTCAACTGCAATCTCCTTAATAATTATTGCCTGGATTTTCATTGCTGCTAGGGCAAAAAGAGAGACCTTGTGGGTTACCCTACAACTGGTGTCTCACAGGAGGTATTTTCTGGAATGGTATGGAATATAGATGAGGCAGAATAGATCCCAGAAATTTGGTTTTTGGCTCAGAGTAAAGTGAATAAAAGAACTAATAGATCCTCAATATCTGGGGCCCTGCAAATACACAAGAGGAGTGCCAAGGAGGTATGAGAGTATCTGCCATCAATCAAAGCTGTGGGCATCATTAAGAAATGAAGGGCTTTAAATGCTTGTATAAGTTTTGAAAGGGATGCGGGTGGCGCTGTGGTCTAAACCACCGAGCCTAGGGCCTGCTGGTCGGAAGGTTCGAATCCCTGTGACGGGGTGAGCTCCTGTTGCTCAGTCCCAGCTTCTGCCAACCTAGCAGTTTGAAAGCATAACAAAGTGTAAGTAGGTAAATAGGTACTGCTCCGGCGGGAAGGTAAACGGCGTTTCCATGCGCTGCTCTGGTTTCGCCAGAAGCGGCTTAGTCATGCTGGCCACATGACCCGGAAAAACTGTCTGCGGACAAACGCCGGCTCCCTCGGCCAGTAAAGCGAGATGAGCACCGCAACCCCAGAGTCATTCGCGACTGGACTTAACTGTCAGGGGTCCTTTACCTTTTTAAGCTTTGAAAACAGTAACCAAGGGGTATGCACTGGCTAGAAGATTTGGTTTGAGCCCTGATTTGGTGCTGTAAAAAATGGTTTAATTTGGCTTCAACTGGGTTCAAATCAGACCTCTGGTTTAGAAAACCTGAGCCTTTGTCTCTCCTCACTGACTATAATGGAGAAATCAATGAATAGCTCCACATTCTCCTATTTTAGACAGAACTGAATGAAATTTAGAGATATTTATTTATTTGTTTTTGTTATTTACATTTATGTCCTACCCTTCCTCCAAGGAGCTGACGATGGTATACTTGGTCTCCCCCTTCTCATTTTAGGTAACCCAGCGAGTTTCATGGTTGAGTGACCTTGGGACTCCCAGGTCCTAGTACAATATTCAAACCACTATACATCACACTGGTTCATACTGGTCCCATCTCAGTGAACAAAACCTGACAAACTACAGACTAACAGGTACAGGGTGCTTTTAAAATATTAATTTTAAAAACAACCCTCTATAATTTTTTATTTCTTTTTTGCCATATTAGATGAAATTTGCTAGCATAGTAGCTCGTTCCGAGGAGATAAATACAGTGGTACCTCGGGTTACATACGCTTCAGGTTACATATGCTTCAGGTTACAGACTCCGCTAACCCAGAAATAGTACCTAGGGTTAAGAACTTTGCTTCAGGATGAGAACAGAAATCATGCTCTGGAGGCGCGGCGGCAGTAGGAGGCCCCATTAGCTAAAGTGGTGCTTCAGGTTAAGAACAGTTTCAGGTTAAGAACGGACCTCCAGAACGAATTAAGTACTTAAACCGAGGTACCACTGTACTGCTAAATTTCAGAAGGATTGGTGCAGGATATTTAGAGCTAGGCACCTTTACATTTGATTGAAAGGATCTCAGAAGGATAAGTGTAGACAACTAAGGAATGGTGTTGAATGAAAAAATATATAAACAGTTCCAGTCTTTTTTGTGTCCTGCTCACTGGCTTTAAAGTCAGGAACTAAATACAAATCTGATTTAACATGCTGCATGTTGAACATGTAGGGGCATGTGGCAGGGGCAGAACCAGAAGGACTTGAACATGCAGCATTTTGCATGCAAGCACCTCTAGCAGAACTACCAAAGAGCACAGAACAGACAAGAACAGGGTTGATGTATTACTTCACTGTGATTGGAGAGCCCTGATAAGATCAGCTTGTTTAGTTGCTGTCTTTCAATATTCAAGGTACTGAACTTTTTATATCAACTGAATATATCCAGATGTTTGGGTCCAAGAATCAAAACAGTTATGAAAATTCTAGCAGAACCACTGCAGGGATCTGAGGAGGATTAACCTTCTTCCCTGCAGTAGCGATCCTGCTAACCCTCCACCACTGCTATTGTTGAAGGGGGAAAAACAGACACATCAAATGCTGGCCCTAAGTAACAACTTGCTTCTAGCTATTTTCATCACCATCCTCTTGGAAGCAGCCTTCATACAATGACAGTTAGCCATGTTAGGTTCACTTACTGGCTTGTCCTTGATGGTAGGGCTGGAAACACACAGATAAAGCTTTCCATCTTCTTCAATGCAGGCATCAATCAGTGCTTGAACAGAGGTCTCCTCTTGGAAAAGAAGGAATGCATAACCTGAACAGCACAGAGGGGAAAAGGCTTGAGTATCGTTAAGATATTCTTAAGTATGACCAAAAACCAAAGGACTCCATATGTATGTTTCCATGTGCATACAGGAGTTTCCCTTGCCCTGCTATCCAACACTCCACTGTTTCAGGTGGGTGTTCAGGAGAATGGGGACCTGCAAAGTTTTCATACCAGCATTGAAGCTACCTGATGAGATCCCAGGCCATGTTTTAAAACTTCTGGGAAGTGAACAACTGAAGAGAGTAGGCTCTCAAGCAACACATATTCTGCCTTTTCTGAGTTTTCAGGGTGGGTAGACTGCCCCACCTCAGAACCATAGAGAGGGAATTCACAAGGTAATCTCACATTTTTACTTCCTCTGTTTACACATGGGCTGTAGAAAAGTAGTACATACCATACTATAATAGGGAAGATACCAACAACACTGACTGTGCTTATTTCAAAGGCTGTGTTGACTCATTCATTCTCTTCCATCTAATAATGTTCAGTAAATGGATGAAAGACTTCAATGGGACTCCCTTGTAAACTGACTCTACAGAGAACTTCTATATGCTGCAGAAGTGGCTGGATGTCACCCTGAGTGGACTATGGCCCCTTTGGGAATAGCTATTTCCAGGGCCTGATACAGTCGGACCTTGGTTGTTGAATGCCTTGGTACTTGGACGTTTTGGCTCCCGAATGCCGCAAACCCAGAAGTGAGTGTTCTGAATGTTTGGGGGAAACTGAATGTCCGATGGGGCTTACGCAGTTTCCAATTGAGTGCAGGAAGCTCCTGCAGTCAATCAGAAGCTGCACCTTGGTTTTCAAACAGTTCCGAGAGTCGAACGGACTCCCAGGACAGATTAAGTTCAACATCCAAGGTACCACTGTATTTTTTAAGAATATAGTCCATAGCTACTGAGCAGCTGTAGAGATGGATACCTGTGCTCCCCATCAGGAGGGTTTGAAGCTTGCACACTATTTTGCGACATTTTAGTTTACCTAACAAAGGTCCTAATATTGGTTTTGGATTTTTTTCTTATGAGTGAATATACTTACCTTTACTTTTTGGGTGTACTACAAATAAGTTTGGTTTTGTTTGAGTAGGAGCATGTCTTCTGTTGAATTGTCATGTGGTATATTAAAAGTAAGGAAAGTAATTTAATTTAGTATGACATAAGACCGTCACTTTATTCTGGTAAGGAATGAAATACACCTTGCTCCTGCTCCCATAGCAGCATGCAGTGTTACCTCTCATACAGAGAAATGATATACAGGCTTTGAGGGCTAGTTCACAAACTGGAAACAGCGTCTGTATGTAAATTTGTGGAGAAACTATATGATGAACTGGGCTACATATTGAGACTAACTGCAGTCATCAGCAGTCACTTTCACAAGTGTGTTGACACTTTTCTCTAGCTACTATAAATATAGTAATGGATGCTGCACTTTGTTATGTGTACTGCCCAAGTCACCACACAATCATGTACAGATAAAGAATAGAGGGAAGCATGGCTCACATGTGAACGAGCTTCAAGTCTCTTCAAAAACTGCCTTATATGGAGTGAAGAACTCAGAAAAGCAATACCTTTAGGTGGAAAGTAGGATTTACTTTCTGCTTTGTGAGGCCAGTCAACGACCAGAGGTCCAAATCGTCTGAAGCTAGCAGTAATTTCATCTAAAAAAATTGATGCAAATAATTGAGTAACTGTATTGGCCTGCATTTCCTTTCTTAACATTTTCCACAGCTACTTGTGAACCATTTAATTAAGTCTAACGTAATGTAGGGGACACGGCTGACTCTGTGGTCTAAACCACAGAGCCTAGGGCTTGCCGATCAGAAGGTCAGCGATTCGAATCCCCGCAACGTAGTGAGCTCCCGCTGCTCGGTCCCTGCTCCTGCCCACCTAGCAGTTCAAAAGCACAAAGTGCAAGTAGATAACTAGGTACCACACCGGCGGGAAGGTAAACGGTGTTTCTGTGCGCTGCTGTGGTTCACCAGAAGCAGCTTAGTCATGCTGAACAACATCAAACCTAGCGTTATGTAAAATACAATTGATGAAGCCCAGGAGGGGGAAACAAGGCATTATTCTGGAAATCCTTGTCAAGATTCTGTGGAACTGTAGTAAATTTCCATTTGGATTTTATGAACATACAAAGACATATGTGGAACAGAAACTAGCAGATATTTGGACTCTATGAATGAACTGATCTATTGGGACTTCTGTTTACATTGTTCTACTTTATGTGTTGATTATGTGCAAGAGAAGTATTTGAAACTGTGATAAAAATACAGAAGATAATTGTTTATGTGAATGCACAGCCGGTTACATTTTGTGTGTTTGTTGGTTTAGTCATGCTGGACACATGACCTGGAAGCTGTCTGTGGACAAACGCCAGCTCCCTCGGCCTATAGAGCGAGATGAGCATGCAACCCCAGAGTCGTTTGCAACTGGACCTAATGGTCAGGGGTCCTTTACCTTTAACATAATGTAATTTTAAATGGCTCGCATTGAAAGTAGTTCTGTGTGAACTCTCTTCCATGGAACCATTTGGGTTTACTAAACATTCCCGTTGAACAATCTTTGAACACTGCATTTAAAATGATTGCTTGCAAATCCCCGGATGGTTTTCCACACACAGAAGCCCATCGACCTCTCACGAGTAAAAGCATCTACTTGCCTTTGTAAAAGAGAGATGGGTAACTGAAGGTAGAGGTGGCTCACAGTAGACCACGCTGGCAGGAGCTTGAGACAATGCTCCTGAGCGCAGGAGTACTGTATGGAATTTGTAACAGTTACGCTTCCCCCACCACTTCCCCCAGGAAAGCCCACTTCTGTTTACCATTAAATTGGAACAAATATCAATTCGTTTTTCTGTGGATCGATGCATGTTTTGATTCATTGGTAAAGAATGGGTTTTCCCAGGGAAAGCGGCGGGACAAATGAAAAACCATGCCTACAAAGCATGGGACAAGCAGAAAACTTATTGTGCTTCCTAGGAATGGGACAAGCGGAAGTGAAGAGGACCCCCAGTCCGGCAGAATAGTTGCAGCCTTTGCAAAGGAAGAGGATTTGAGGGGGTTGATTGTAAAGGTTAAAGAAGGAATTGGCAGGGAGGATAGACCCCATTTTAAGGGGGGTCTGGGACCAACTTGAAACGAGGTGCCCGTTTTCAAAGCTTTTTTGGCCTCACTTATTTAAAATATGAAACTATAATTAAACTAGCTTTTCAGAGCCTTGAAAACCAAACTCTTATAGACATACTTTTATTGATATATCTTTCAAAAACATGGAAAGACAATACAAAAGCAGTAATGCTTTATTTTTAAACTGTTTGTACCAACTGCATTCCTGCTCTTGGAAGGGGCAAGCTTGCCCTGCTACCATCTAGAGGCAAGAGACTAAGGGTGGTTTGTTCCTTTGGGAGAGTGGACCATGTGCTATAAAGTTTACTTTGAAGTTAATCTTATTGATTTCAGTAAAGCTTACTTCCAGGTAAGTGCATATAGGATCGCAGTATCAATTCCATATCTATTTTGTTTTTCCAAGACCCCCCCCTCCCCAATTGAGCAACTCACCTTCATCAATATCTGGAGGAAGACCACCAACAAACACCTTCCGAGAGAAACGTTCTATCCGTTCTCCATTCTGATGAGCAGAATAGCATGTAGGTGAATTCAACACGCCTACTTGGTCACTATGACCATCATCCAGTAAGCCATCATCTATTGGAAAGAGGGAAGAACGACCTGTGGGGGGGGGGGGGAAGAAAGAGAACAGAATTCAGTGTTATTTATGGATTCTTTATTCAAACCTCTAATGGTCAGACTAGATGTCAATGAAAGCTTCACGCTGGAGATCAGTAGCTTTGGGACCATGATACGGGAGGAAAAAGTTAAAAACACACCTGCTACACGGCATAGTCCCAATTATGACACGCACACCTCCCCGTGTTTAAAAATAGGTATGGGTTTTTTGCATGGGGGTTACGGTCTGCCTTGCCCCCTTTTCTGGCCACTTCCAGGTCGTGGAATGAACACATGCGCAGTCGCAGACTTGGATAAGTGTAAAACGGTCATTGCCTGTATGTGAAATATGTATTCACAAATTTTATGTATCATGCGGTTGGACTCTTAGTAGCCTTGGGCATGCTACTATCTCTCACAATCAGCATTCTCACCTGCAAGCTGAAGACAATAACAGACATCCCTATAAAGCTGCCATAAGGATTACTAAGATCACATAAGTGAAGTGTTTTAATGCACTATACAAATGCCAATTCTGCAATGCGAAAGAAAGAAAGAAAGAAAGAAAGAAAGAAAGAAAGAAAGATAGATTAAAGGAATTATGTTTTCAAATACCAAAAAAATCATTTTTGCCAATTTTAAAATATTTAAGGAAAGCAAATTTCAAAAGTTAAAGAAAAGATTAATGTGTTGCTTTAATAAAACTATATTGTTTTGAATAAATATAATTAGAACTGTTACAATATCGGTGCTTCAGAGTTCGGGCTGTGATCCATTGTGGGATTACCATTTTAGCCAATGTGGAACTCGCATGCTCAAACAAATACAGAATCCATTTACAAAAGCCACGCTTACAATATAGCATTCATAGCAGTCCTGTCTTTCCCTGGTTTGTTCTCCATTAATCCCTTTGCAATACTATCCAGGCCTAGCTGCCGTTATCCTGAAGCAAAACATTAACTAGGATAAAAAGGACAGTTTGTTTAAGAGATTTCTTTTAGTGGGCATTGCTCTCCAGTTACAATAGAACAGATTTGGATAGTGAGAGCTTGGCTGGGTACATAAAGGTCAGCTGGCTCATTCTGTTGTTGAACCGATGCTTGTAGGGCCCTAACTAGCTTTGAATCTGCAATAATATTTTACCAGGGTAGGAGAAAAAGGAATTGCAGCTACTTTTTATAGAAGATTACTTGATATCCAGATGGGACCTTTAGTAGGATTACATACACCCACACCCACTTACGCGCATTCCACTCGAGGGCAACCACATTTACACATGTCATTGTTAAATAAATGATTCTGGGATTTCTGCAGCAGCAAAATGTTATCTATAAATTGTTTAATAAATTTTTTTTAAAAAAGTAAGAAATTAATAAGTATTGGTGCTTCAGACAGCAGAGAATTAATTTTAATATGAAAACATCCTAAAAACTAGCAAGTAAACAGTCCAATATGTTCCATTTGCCAGCAATTGTCAAACTGCACATAAAACCAGAGGGATGTCATACATATTGCTAAATCTCCTATGTTCCAATGAAACTGGGCATAGATGCCTAACTGACTGGTTCAGAGGAAACTACAGAAGATAATGGTATTTCAGAGTAGATTTTTCTCAGTTTATTGGGAAAGCTTTTGTGACTGAAACAAATTTTAATTCAGCTATGGTGTGAAAGCACCTGATTGGCACTGAGGCTCAGCAACCAGACAGGAATTTGCTTGGAAACAAAAACACAAAACAGCAACCAAACAAACGAGACAATGCTCACCAGGTGCTGAAAAAAATATTATTCATTGGGTGGTGTCCAACAAACTCATTCCATCTGCGCAAGGATGTCGGATACCACACAGTATTTACAAAAGCATTACTATGCTCCGTTATTATGGCTAACACATTCTGAGTATGACATCTCGTCACCAGAGGCAGTAGATACTTCTTGTATCCGGAATGAGAAGTTTCTTTGTCTTTTCAGAGAGCACTCCCAAAATACAAAGGAACGTCTCATTCAGAAGAAAAGTACTGCCTCTGGTGAGAAGATGTCATACTCAAAATGTGTTTGCCATAACAGAACTTAGGAATGCTTTTCTAAATAAAGTACTCATTTTTTTAGTACCTGCCAAGGTATGCCTTTTCATTTTGTTTGGTATTGTTGCCCTTCTATTTTCCTACAGATTGCCTATGAACTCATTATGCTCGGAATGCCTCCTTTAAGGAAATAAACATATACAAGGTGGTGGTTGTTTTCAAAAAAGAGGGAAGGGGAAATATTGTATGTACGTAAATGAAATTTATCCAGACTCGTTTCTGAGTATTTAAATAGCAAAGTGGCTCACTGTGACTTATTTGTGAAGGAATTTCACAGAGTGAAACAATCAGATGCCCTTTAATATGGGCTCCACACTGTTTTCAGTGCAAAAAGAGCTGCTTCCATGAGAGCATTAGTTACTTCTACTTGGATAGGTTTCCATTAGTGAGGCCAAGGATGCTGACAGGGTGCTTGGAGGGGTATGACTTACACTTGTGCACTCAACCTTTGTACATCTTGGCTGGACAGGGTAAAGAGGATGATTGGCTGGGTCCAGGAGACAATGAATGCTTCACTGAGAAATGAACCAAATTTTGGTCGCCTTGATGGCAACAGTTATGAGGCGCTCCTGTAGAAGCTGTTTTTGACCACTGATGATTTTGGTAACAATTGACTGTTCACTGATAACTTTTTCCCCAGGGAGTCTCTCCAGCAGTTAGTAACAATTTAGCTCCAGAAATCCTAGATGAAGCTGATTATCTAAACCAATTTCAGTGTGACTTTCAACCTTGTACGGAACACTTGGGCCACCCTTATGAAAGATCTATACAGGAAGAGAGACAGAGGGAGCCCATCCCTGTCTATTTTTTTTTAAAAAAATCTTTCAAGTAAAGAAGGAGGTGGTGGTAGACACTTGGCCTGCCCTATGATGCTTATGTTAAGAGTTTCCCAGGCTATTTAACATAAAACCACCAAATGAGGTCATTTGGAGATTTGGAATAAAGTTTAGTAAGTATTATACAGAAGACACCTGCATTTCTCCTTCAAATCCAATCCAAGTGGGGTTGTGAATATTCAGAACAGGTATTTGGAGTTAGTAGTGGTCTAATAAACCAACTCAAACTAGATAAAACTAAGATATAACAAAAGTAATGTTTGTTGGTGTGAATTGACCAGAAAATAAAAGGGGTGGTCTGTCTTGGATGGGGTTCTACTCCTATTAAATAATCTGGTCCACAATTTGTGTGATGCCTTAAAATCAGGCATTGCAGATTATATGTAGATGTTTTAGATGAGATGAAGTGTTTTGGCTGCTAGGATATGCCAGTTACAATCTTTATTAAAGACATGTGCCTAGCTAGAGTCACTCATGCCTTGGCAACATCCACGCTGGAGTACTGTGGTTAACTATTATTTGGGGGCCACAAATAATTCAGAATGCAGTTGCTAGGTTGTTTGCTAGGACATCTAGAAATGAGTATACTTCACCTGTAAATGAAGACCTTTCATAGCTACCAGTTCATGTCCAGGAACAACTGGTTTTGACCTATAAAGTTCCATAAGGCCATGGACCATGATATCTATTCCCTTATGGCTGCTAAACTATCTGCTGAAGACCCGGTTCTTCATTCCCCCACCATAGGAGTGAGCTGAGCAACTTCTTGGTACTTTCTTGTTGTTTTGAAGACCACACTCCCCGATACCTATTCACCCAACTTGATGGTTAGGCACCAGGAAAAAACACGTTACTTAATTTGCTGCTGGAGATGTCTCATCTGTCATTATTTTACTGTTATTTATACCGTATCTATTATTTTCATATGAAATTGTGAGCAACCTGGAAGGCTGAAAGTCAGACCAAAAATATTTTAAACAAAACAAACAAAAGACTTAGGATGCAATTTCATGATTGCAGAGTCATGTTATCATGAGGTTCCTTGCAAGACTATGCAGGCCACCACCCTAAAAGAGGTAGTGGAAAGATGCACTTTTGCCCTAGAGGAAAGAAATATTTGAAAAAAGGAACAGAAGAATTATAACCAAACCAAAAGAATCTGAATAAAACTATGGTGAACTGATACGAATGCCAACTCCACAAAGCAGGAGAAAAGAACATTTAACATGCTGTTAGCCTCTTAACCCAAAAAGCTCATGTTGTCATAGCAACAACACCCACATAATTAAGAAAACACCACAAAGTGAAGTGCAAAGGGCAGAATGAGAGTCAAAAGTTCTCTCTTTTGCATACATAACATCTTTCATCAATACATATTAACAAAGAAACATCCTCCACTGGAAACAGGGTGATATCCAATGCTGTCTGTGCACAAGCAGGACAGACTTCCATTTACGTGGTGAGGGTTCCTCCTCCTGCACTCCTTTCTGCAGCCCCCACCCCCACCAATGTGTCCCTAAAATCTGCTCCAGAGGGTTGGGAGAACCTTCAGAGCAACATTTTAAGGGAACACAGGAGGGAGAAGACAAAGTGTAAGTTTGCTTCCGTGATGTTGGATATTGCTGAGACAGCTGTGTATGTGTGTGTGTGTGTGTGTGTGCGCGCAAGCATACATGTTCACCAGCCAATATGCACAAAGCTTCCCAAATGATAGCGTTGGCACCCATTCACTCACCTCCAAGTATTTGGAACAAATTAGCCAGCTACAAAATGGCACCCTGGTAAGGAAGTGGATGACCTATAAGGATTATTGGTACCTTTGTGTATTTCACCTTTAGCTGTGATTTCCAAAGTGTGGGCCAAGCAATTGCTATCAGAAATAATATAGTATCAGAGATTTAAGTCACGAGTTTCATCTGGATTCTGTGCAGTGGTAGGTGTGGTGACATGGATACCACTGAATTTCTTGGTCCTTTCAGTAAGTTATGTGGAATTAATGAGGATGTGTTGGTTCTATCCAATACAGTGAGCCACTGAAAAATATGTAACCATGGATACATATGCATTTTATGTATCTTGGAGAATATCAAATTTAGCTACCCAGGTGAGAGCACCTGAAACTGCAGGTTATGATTTTCAGCCACCTAAATAGGGGAGTTTACATTCTGGAATGCTACATATCCTCCAAAACAAGAAGGCAATGCTACCCAATTTGGCTTCATGGTGACCAGGGGCACTTTTCCCCATCTCCCACTGGAACACCAACTATGAACTTATATAGGGGTAACATACCTTTGCCACAGCTATACATGCACTAGTGACTTCCAGGTTAGGCTACTATGATACTCTATATAAGGGGTTGCCTTTGAAGACTGTTCAAAAATGTCAACAGGTACAAAATGTGGCTGTCTTGACTACTCATTGGGCCCAGGTGGATGGAACAATTTCGCCAAAATTGTGCCAGCTGAACTGGTTACCAGTGCGTCACCACTGGTGATGACCTTTAAAGCCCTAAACAGCTTGAAAGTAAGTTACTTTAAGGGCTACCTTGCACTTGGTCTGCCTATCCGTTCATTAAGATCTACTTCAGAGGCCCTTTTCAGACACCTACCTATTAAAAAAAATTAGGCACATGGAAACAGGCCTTTTCAGCAGCTAATTATGGAACTTGATTCAAAGCAAGATATCACTACTTTTAAATGAGCCTTGAAGACTCATTTTTGGTGATCTTTGAGGGCTAATCTAGGATCTGTAAATTGGATGCTCATTTTGCTGACTGAGCTAGATTATTTTTAATTTCTTGTATGGTTTGTATATTTTTGGATGTAACTGTGTATTTTTAAATGATTTTATTGTTTGATTCTATGGGTATATTTATGCACAGTTGCAAATCAGATTGGGAGGCAGTGGTGCCTAAAAAGTGGGCTAAAAACCTATGAAATATATAAAAACATAAATCTGAAGGTCCATTCAGCATCTAACAGGGACTAATCTAATTAAGTCTGTACACTTCCTTCTGTAAACCTTCTTGGGGCAGTTAAAATATGAAGGTATCATGCCTTTAACATCACACCAAACTTTTCTCTTTTCCCTCCCATGTTATATTGTTAGACTTTAGCCTGATGGAGATGTTTGAGAAGTCAATCACTTTCTCAGTATTTTATGATGGTTCACTTAGTCCTAATAACTGTATTGCCCCATTGTGGATTTTGGGTCATGGTGACAAGAATATCTTTGCTGTGGTGTTTCCCCATATTTCTCTTAATTTAAACCAATATATTATTTACCAATGCCCATTGCCATTAGATAGTGGAAATCACTTATGTGTCTCAAGCAATGAGTCCCACAGAACACATTTTATTTTAGTGCTATATTTACAGGAAAGTACATATAGCATTGCTTGAGATAACTATGGCTTTCCAGTGTTGCAAAACTGGTTAAAATTTCAGATATAGACCTTCTCAGCATCAGCAATTACATTCTCTTTTGCTGTAGTCCATGGTCCACTTTGAGAAGGCTATTCTTTTCTTATCATGACTCCAAAATACATTCGTTTCAATACTTCAGTTTAGAGTTTATCTCGTATCACTGTTTCAAGGCAGGCCAAGCCAGGACACTTCAAAAGCAGGGGGTAAAACAACAGTAGCCTCCCCATTATGCATTACAGTAATCTAACCTTAATATTATGTAGCCTGGACAATTCAAACCCAGTTACTAGGACCAAATATACAGTTTCATGAGGGACTTGCTCCAATCCCCATGGTTGGAAATCTGATTAACCAAATGTAATCAAAATCCATCCATGATAATCTGTGATCCATTCATGATCATCCTCTCTCTATAGACAGGTGGTCTTGCCATCAAACTATTTTCCTTCATGACCCAGGCACTCGGTCGTGAAATTAATATTTACCCTATTAATAAGTCATTTAAGCTGAGTATATCTGAGAATCATGGTTTGAGATCTGAACCACTAGATGTGGAGCTATGCTTCTAAGAGTTGTTTTAGTCTATATAAAACTGTATATTGAATCTGAAATTTGCTGATGGAATGAAACAACTTTTTTAGGAGGGGAAGGTGTGATTTTTAAGAAGCCTATTCAGGAAGTATTTACTGTAAACAAGAATGTGAATAAGGAGGGAGGGAAATCAAGCATCAACATTTAGATAATACTAAAATCAGTATCTAAAGCAGATAAAGATTTTGCTGAAGTCTGGTCATGCAAAATGAAAGGAACAATCTATTATTAATAAATTGTTAGTTTACCACCAACTTCAATGAGAAGTAAATGGCACCTTCAGAATCACTGATTTGGAGTAATTATCAGAATAACAGCCAATCTAACCCCAATCAGCATTAGATTTATTATAGGAAACAGAAGGGAATTACCTCGTCTTCGCCCATAACTCCTTGCTGCATGTAAACAAAGGACAAATGGTAAAACATTTGGAAATACAAATATAATGTAAGTGATTTGTGTGTATACCAAATTTAGTCTGCAGTGTTTGTTTATGATGTGCATTTTTACTTTCATTTCATGAGCACCAGAGACACTTCCTATGCATGTATGAAAATGGTTTGGATAATTTTATTTAAATTTTAATATTTTAATGCCTTATAAATTCTGTTTGTATTAGTTGTAACAAATATCACACACTGCGTGTAAATATTTTAAAACTGTGTTTCCCATTTTCAGCTTTCAGGATGGAGTATAAACAAGATGAACAGAGCTTTACTCTTAACAGAGAGCACTTTGATTCTTTTCAGTGTAGAAATATGCAAATGACTCTGAGAAATGTCCTGACTCTTGGGACATTTTGTACTTCTTTTGCAGTGGTAATACAAATACTATAAGCTATGACCTTCATTTGCCATGAAAACAGCTGGAAGAAAATTAACTCAAAGGCTTTTGTCTCAAACAAGAGACTCCTTTTGATCTTAGATTAGTCTTGCAGATAAGTAAAAAAAAAACCTCTTTCCCTGGCAACTCAAGTGTGACAGAATCACTGCTGACTTTTTTGCAGTTTAAAGGCTCAGAGTGTTTCACATATAGCTGTAATAGAAGTCCTGATCTCTCTCTGGGCCCTCTACTCTGGCCACAAATAGCCACATGACATTATTGTGCCAGACTCTGTTCTCTCCGATTTTTAAGAGTGTGGAAAAGTGTCATGCATAGGTATGGAAACAGCCACTGCCTGTTTGTGTCAGTAATAGAGCCAGGTCGTCAGACTTTGGATAAGGGAGCTTCTTATGGACTAAAAGTCATTCTAGCCCTAACTCCTACTTCCAGCTTTCCAGTTACTGTAGCACGGAAGAACTAGCATATGCTGTGCATGCACTTACTTTAACTAACACACACACACACACACACAGCTTTTTCACCTCATATGGGTCTTCCAGAGAATAAAAATATACAATATACAAAATTTAAAACATTCATTAAAATATTAGAGAATTAAACATAAGAGCAGCATTCACAGTGCAAACAGCTGACTGTATGGGAGTGACTCATGTGGTTCAATTCAGGCGTCAAGCAATGGCTTGAGGCAGTCATATTTTAGGACCTAAGCCACAGTATGAGCCCAACAGGTAAACCATGCTTTACAGCTACTTGTTTGCTTGCATTTCTTAGTATTTACATGCCATCCTCAAACAAAGTTCAATGGATTCTTACTACAGTGGTGCCCCGCAAGACGAATGCCTCGCAAGACGAAAAACTCGCTAGACGAAAGGGTTTTGCGTTTTTTGAGTCGTTCCACAAGACAAATTTCCCTATGGGCTTGCTTCGCAAGACGAAATGTCTTGCGAGTTCGTTTCCTTTTTCTTAAAGCCGCTAAGCCGTTAATAGCCGCTAAGAGCCGCTAATAGCCGTGCTTCGCAAGACGAAAAAACCGCAAGACGAAGAGACTCGCGGAACGGATTAATTTCGTCTTGCGAGGCACCACTGTACATTGACTTCACTCCTGTCAGCTATCACCCCCTGTGCAAAAAGTCTCCCCCTCCAATATCATCAACCATACATGTATGCCGTTTCTTTCCAAAGATTATCATCCAAGTACAAGCGTATTTACCTAACAATTGTAGAAAAACAAAATAATTAGCTAAAATAATTGTTCGAATTACAGATAGAATGAAACTTATATTTCCATTGGATCTTGCAATAAATAATAATAATAATTTATTTATACCTGCCCATCTGGCTGGGTTTCCCCAGCCACTCTGGGTGGCTTCCAACAAAATATTAAAATACAATAATGCGTCAAACATTAAAAGCTTCCCTAAACAATAATGGTACAACAATGTACCATACATATACATATGTATACAAGCACATAAAAGTCTTCAGAATAGAGAAATCCTCCTCTGGCAGACTGGAAATGTATCTAGTATTCAATCATTAAGATTACAGGCATTTTACAAATTAAAATACCCACAATATACAGTGTCTAGCAGTGGCATCCTCCCAGGGCAGCGGCAATGTACATGTTGATACAAGGGGAGAGTGGGGCAAGGTCAGGGCAGCTCTGGATTCACCGTGGAGCTGCTACCACCACCAGCGAGCTTCCTTAACGTTGCTGCTGCCACCACCTTACCCCAACCTGATGAGCTTAGCACCACCATCAATATACTACTGCCTCCCCTCCCCAGCCACAACTGTCATTTACTCACAAAGCCTAAGTACAGCTGTATTATCAAGTATGACCACATGCAGCAGGTTGTGGAAAGCACTCAAATGAGCCTAATTGCAAAATAAGAAGGAAAATAACTTATAATTTGTTGTGGTAGCACTAGAAGCATGGTAGCACTAGAAGGCTGTGGTGGTGGATTCTGACAAATGGTACCTCAGACTCCATGATGAAGCCACCTATTACCATGACAGCACTTTGACATGACTAATGCAATCTGCTACAGAGAAGACTGCTGTGATGCCCTTAAAGCAGTAGAGACAAATGATGAATGCTAACGAATTTCACCTTGACTGACACAGAGGAATAAACAGTCCATATGGCTTCTAAAAACTGCTCAACCAAGCCAGCTGCATATTTACTGACAGTTGCACAGGATGCAGGGCATCTGCAAAAGTATCATCCAGTATCTCACCATGGAGTAAAAAAACAACTATCAGCCTTTTGGTACCTTAAACTCTTACATATTTGGCTGCAACTCTATATCAATAGAAGACATAACTCATGTACTCCTTGCGTGCCCTTTCTATGACGAAACAATTACATCCACCCATTGCTAAGATCGCAGAGGGGTAGGTCATCTCTTGCAAATACCTGTTTTTTGCTGTCTGATGTTGAGAGAGAGAGAGAGATATCCTTAGAACATCTAAATTTCTTGTTAAGGCTTTACATATTTCATGTAACAAAACTTGAGGGGGGAATGGGAAATGATTTATCCACTAGGGGTTGGGGAGTAGAAATGTTTATTAGTAGCAGTATTCCTGTTATTATTTTATGTGTGTAATGGCTGCTTGCTAAACACAATAAACCAAATTGACTGACTTAGGTGGAATCTACACACACACACATATATATATATATATAAAATTCTGAAAATGCTTTATTTTAAAAAAAAGCATTTTAAAAAATACATCAAATTTTCCATAAGGCTCACCATCGCCACGTAGTGTCACATTGTATATTGCACTAAAACACACTTTAAACATTTTGTTTGCAGCTCTATAGCTGAGTCCTTAAACTCTTACTGTATTAAGGCATAAGCTTTCATGACCTAAGTCATCTTGATGTGCAGCAGGAGAGGAACAGCTGTTTACACAACAGCACCAGGGTGGCGTCAAGACACTGTAAACCTTGGACTGCCGCTTGGTTTACTGGAGACCTCTCCTGGCAATGAAACAGAACAGGAGACAACTGGAGCGCTTTGGTTGGGAGGGCATAAGAGTACATAACTGGGCTTGCTGTGCAGCAGCAAGGGCTGCCTTCTTTGCTGCCTCCATCATGCCTTCAAGTATCTGTCCAGCAGAACATCCCTTTGAACTCAGTTTTAGAGACATTGGAAGCCCACTGTGCCATTTTTTGCGTCACTTTGAGGATAAAATTGCAGACTTGAATGCTGCTGCTGATTCAGTGCCTGTTGATATGTCTAATGAATCTTCTTGTGGGATCAGTTTTAGTTGTTGACACCTGCCACCCGCAGCTGTGCAGCAAATCTTACGCTCTTTTGACTCTTGCCCTTCTAGGTCATGTACTATCCATGGCAAAATGATTGGGTGGATTCAGAGCATGACAGAGTGGTCCACATTGTCTTGGAAGAGATGATGGTGGAAGCTCTCCTTAAAAAATAACTACCTTCTCTGGTCATTAAATAGCTCAGTTGGTTAGAGCGTGGTGCTAATAATGCCAGGGTTGAAAGTCTGATCCTCATATGGAACAGCTACATATTTCTTCATTGTAGGAAGTTGGATTAGATTATCTTCAGGGTCCCTTCCAACTTTACAATTCTATGAATACACCTTTTCTAAGCAAGGTAATCAAGAGGATAGTGGTAGTTCAGCCCTCACCACTTGGCATGCCTGACCCTGATAATCTCACAATTAGTCTATTGTAATGTACTACATGTGGGGCTATCCTTACACTTTTTTTGGAAGCTGCAGCTAGAGCAAAATACAGCTGATAGCGTGCTCAGTAGGACAACAGTTCTGAAAGATATGCCCTGGCTGAATATTAGCCACCAAGTTAGGTTGAAGGTCCGTTTGCTAACATTTAAAGCCCCAAACAACTTGAAACCTGGGTACCTAGTTGACCACCTTCCCCAGCAAATCCAAGCTTTAAAGTCCTCTGAGGAGATTCTGCTGGGCATTCCACAATCAGTGGATTGTCACTTGGTAACAAAATGGGAGCAGGTCTTTGATAGTAACACCTTTCTAATATTCGTTTAGCCAAGCTTTCCTGAACTCCAAATCCTAACTTTTAAATTCTTTTCAGTTTTACTTACGATATAAAATATATGTTTTTACTGAATTGTTAGAAAGTCTAATTTCAACGTTATTGTTACATTAATGTTGGTTTTTTTCTGACTTATGTAAACAGTTTAGATACTTATTTATATTAAGCGGTATATACATTCTGTAACTAAATCTCAGCTGCACAAGCAATAAGGCCAACTCAGTCTACTGAATGGCTTGGTTGTCTCACAAGTGTTTGTGGGGCCATAAGATGCCATGCTTTCTTCAAAGGTTGGGAAGGGCCAAGGAGAACGCATCCTGCGGCTCACTTGCTCAGCAAAGGAGGAAGACAAGAACTGTTTAACCCTATCGCCTCCATTGTGTATTTATCTGTCAAGAACTATATGAAAAGATGTTTCCACATTCTATCCCGAACAGAAAGCTGCAGGTATCTGCTTGCAATGTAGCAGAAATGTTCTATATTTAGAAGTGCAAGCATTTCACATTTTACAAATGCAAGAATAAAGTCAGCAATATTCACACACACAAAAAAATCTTAGCCCTGCATCTGAAATTATTGTCAGGGGTTTTATAACTACCAGAACATTCATAATGTAGAGCAAACACATATTACCAAGAGGTAAATTGAGAGAAGCTCATCTATTTCTCACTTGTGTGCTAAAGTACATATTTAGGGAAGGAGGTTGTAAATATGAAATAGTGCTATTTCAAAGAGGTCATTAAAAATTTGCTCCTGTCTTTGAAGTATTCTCTTTGGGGTGTGGCAGGGAATCTACCTTTTAAAAAATATGGTGGTATTATTGCTCTTAAGCTTCTAATGTCCTGTTTTACATTGCTGTTAAGTCTGTGAAGTCATCCATTTTGTATAATTACACACCTTAAAATCTAGATTACTCATGAACACATCACCAAGCTAAGTCATCACAGAAAACTAACTTCAGGAATATGTCTAAAGTTTCTCATTTAAAAACAAACACCTTTTAAGTTTGCACTCTGTAGTGATCTTGTGATTACGGGGATAGAATCTTTTATTATTATGGGTCAAAGAGGCACATTGCACTGAGATTTTCTATTCTACTTCATTACAATTTCTAGTCAGTGTATTCTACAAATAACTAGCAAGTTTTCGTAGTATGCAAACATCGATTTATTGTTCTTAAAGAATACACTCACTCACAAAAATTGCAAATATTTAAATGGTTCGACCTGCACCAGAAATCTTAAATATAAACTCTGAAACATGTGGAGAAGTAGAGAAGAAAACTATAGCGATGCGATTCTATAGCTCACAGAAATTTATTCCCATCTTTTTTACTAATAAGATTATCAATTTACCAGCTTTTCCAATTACAGTGGTGCCTCGCAAGACGAAATTAATCCGTTCCGCGAGAGTCTTCGTCTAGCGGTTTTTTCGTCTTGCGAAGCAAGCCCATTGACGGATTAGCGCTATTAGCGGTTTAGCGGCTATTAAAGGCTTAAAGGCTTAGGGGATTAGCTGCTAAAAGGCTATTAAAGGCTATTAAAGGCTTAGCAGATTAGATAAAGGGGGGGAAAAGCGAAAAAAAAATTTCAAGGCTCGCAAGACATTTTCGTCTTGCGAAGCAAGCCCATAGGGGAATTCGTCCTGCGAAGCAACTCCAAAACGGAAAACCCTTTCGTCTAGCGGTTTTTCCGTCTTGCGAGGCATTCGTCTTGCGGGGCACCACTGTACCTATCTTGAGTACTACCTTGGTAAGGGAAATATAAATAAGTAACACAAACACATACGAAAAGCCTTACTTAAGGTCTCCAGCATTTTATCACATATTAGAGTGCATGTCAAGAAAAAAAAATATGATACCACATATTTATTAATACTACAACAACAACAACAACAACAACAACAACAACAACAACGGAAGAAAACCTTACCACTTGGTAAATTCGTATCAGGGAATAATTCCAGCAAAAAAAATACTTTTAATCTAGCAGATCTTTACTACTGAGTGGTATTTTTAATGCTTATGCTGGTCTAAACTCCTTTTGGAGAAAATCTTCATAAACCACCATTTTAAACACCATTTGTACAGTTTGAAATGCATACTAAGTACTGGACTACCAACCTGCACAATTACCAATAATTAGATTAATATATTCTGCACACACACACTTGTTTGTTTGAGTTTCCAAAGTGTTCAAGGTGGTACAAATGGTTTTCCTCCTCCCCATTTCCTCCTCACAATAACCCTGTGAGGTAGGTTAGGGCGTTAGGCTAAGAGATGGTGACTGGCCCATGGCTGAGTCTCTCAGGTCATAACCCAACATTCTAACCATTATTTTTATATTGCTTAGTTTCTATATTTGTGTGTTTCAAAAGTTGTGGGGTGGGAAATCCCTTAATAAATAAATATAATATCTAATCTTTACAACATCCTGTAATACCTGATTTTTGCAACATCCTATCAATTCAAGGGATGCGGGTGGCGCTGTGGTCAAAACCACAGAGCCTAGGGCTTGCCGATCAGAAGGTCGGTGGTTCGAATCCCTGTGACGGGGTGAGCTCCCGTTGCTCAGACCCTGCTCCTGCCAACCTAGCAGTTCGAAAGCACCTCAAAGTGCAAGTAGACACCGCTCCAGCGGGAATGTAAACGGCGTTTCCGTGCGCTGCTCTGGTTCGCCAGAAGTGACTTAGTCCTGCTGGCCACATGACCCAGAAGCTCCCTTGACCAGTAAAGCGAGATGAGCGCTGCAACCCCAGAGTCGTCCGTGACTGGACTTAACGGTCAGGGGTCCCTTTACCTTTAACTGTCAATGCAAATATCTCTCCCATGACTGTACTACAGTATATACTACTGTTAATAATGAAAAAAACAGATCTATGTACAGTGGTACCTCGGGTTACATACGCTTCAGGTTACAGACTCCGCTAACCCAGAAATATTACCTTGGGTTAAGAACTTTGCTTCAGGATGAGAACAGAAATCGTGCTCCGGTGACACGGCAGCAGCAGGAGGCCCCATTAGCTAAAGTGGTGCTTCAGGTTAAGAACAGTTTCAGGTTAAGAACGGACCTCCAGAATGAATTAAGTACTTAACCCGAGGTACCACTGTACGCTCCTATGGTCGTGGCAATTCTGATTTGTTTTTGCATTTATATGAAGTATTAAAACTTGAATTCTTCACTATTCATAAATGCAAGCATGGCAAACTGTACAGTAGATCATGGAATTCTGTGTTTATGAAACTGCAAATGCCCTCACTCTATTGTCTAACAGCATAATTATATGCATATTTATTCAGAAGTAAATCCCACTGATTTCATTAGTTCCAAGTAAGACTTGCAATCCTATGCACCCAAGGAGTGTTTTAAATCTAAATCCTTTTAGTTGTAAACACAGGAACCAGCTCCTAGGGGCCATGGAGGCTTTAGTCCCCATAATAAAATATCTGAGGGGGCCAGGCCCCCACAAAGTTGATGGGCATTCTCATTCAAATTGTATGTGTGCACTGCATCATGTGATAGATTATGTGGGCCAGGGCTTACCCGGGCCCCCATAGTATTTTATTCAAGTTGGCACCCCTGGTAGCAAACACAATTTGCAGGAAGCATCATTACAGAAAAGCAAACTTATTTCAACCATGTAAAGTAAGTGTGTCAGATGACAAAATTTCAAATGAATTGTCATATATTGGTAGAAAATAAAGCAGATGGAGGAGGAAAAGCATACCTGAAATGCTGGAATTAGTAAATTTGGTTTCTGTTTTTTTATTTTAACGGCAGTAGTTTTATATTGATGTAAGTTTTGTGGGTGCTAGCACAAAATGGCTTCTGTGAGCAGCAAAAATAGAGAAACCAGTACTCCACATTGTCGAGTACTTCCACACACAAAATGCACTGGATACAACGATATATAAACATACTGTAAAATGAGCTACTACTTTTTGGAAGTGGAAGACAGCCATGGTTCTCAAAAAAGCTGGCTATCTTTGATTATTTGTGGATTATTCAGTAACAGAATGCAGCGGTACTTAAAAAAATAAGCTTACTATGATAATAGCAAATTAAACTGCTAGAAGACTAGCTCTTACCATTTAACATTAGAAGATTGTCAGTTCCTGGATGTGGGTAATTCAAACGACCTAAGAACAAATAGTTGCAGGATTTTAGCCATTATATTCAATGGAAAAAAGAAGATGTGCAAAAATACTTAATAAAAATAAAAAAATTCTTATTTATATCCCACTTCTCTGGCTGGGTTTCCCCAGCCACTCTGGGCTGCTCCCAGCAGAATAGTAAAAACACGTTAAAACATCAAACATTAAAAACTTCCCTAAACAGAACCGCCTTCAGATGTCTTCTAAAAGTCAGATAGTTGTTTATTTCCTCGACACCTGAAGGGTGTTCCACAAGGAGAGTGCCACTACCAAGAAGGTTATATACGTGGATACACCCATGCACCATAACTCCATTTTGTTCAAGAGCAGAACCAGCTAATATTTTACTCGATTAGCCAACTCCACCCTTGAGCCAACTTAAGTTGAAAGAATGAACTTCTTAACCTTAATTCTCTGGTCATAAGATCTGCAATGTGCTTTGGGATCAGCTCCAAGAGGACAAAGGTTCTCTTTGTTTCAAGAAATCCAGAAATAGTGCCGACTATTCCAAGTCTCCTTTTCCATTCATACTATGAAAACTTCTACCTAACTGCTTAAACTCAGTTACACTGGAGAAATATCAAGCGGCTCAAATCTCAAACACATCTTCTGACACTACAGCTCAAACAAAATCATTTATTCTGGTATAGCTGGTTTTCATTTACTCCAAACATTTAAATACATATTTTAAGATAATACAAGTTCCATGAATGTTTTCTGGCTGGTACATTTTAGAATTTAAGTTAGAAAATACTAAAGAGAGAACTCCTATAATAATTGAATTCTGAATATTTAGAACCACATAACAAAAGGTTTTGTATTTTACTAAGAAGTTTTAGTAACATACAACAGCTGCTTTGTTTTACTATGATATGGAAGACTGGCATATTACCTCAAGCTCTAAATAAATCTGCTATAATCCCCAAATATATACTAATATACTGCAGCTTTTAGAATCACTGCTCTCTCTTCAGGATGACCGATGACAAATCATGAAGGGTCCATTCATGAAGGACTTTGCATACATAATTTAGATCAACTGAATATATTAAATACTACTGACTCAAATAGGCATCTAAATACATATGAAAGCAGTAATTTCTGTTTTAAGACAGATTTAATTAGACTCTATATAGATTAGCATCCCTTTTCTCATTTTTAAAAATACAATACTTTACTGAGTGAAATCAGTGTCCAGGACATACAAAAGTAAGGTCCCCTCATTTCAGATCAAAAGCCCCCAACGTGATTGCCCAGCTGCATCTTTTATTTTTAATATTCTGATTTGGCAAACCTAGTACCACCTATAATCTAACTATGGACAGCACAGGAGAAGGGGCAGCAATGGCACAATTCCATTTAACCCTGCAATTTTTGCACCTTAATCTTAAATAGTTGTAGATTCAGGTAGGTAGCCGTGTTGGTCTGACGCAGTCAAAATATATAAATAGAAAATTAATTTTTTTCCAGTAGCACCTTAGAGACCAACTAAGTTTGTTCTGGTTATAAGCTTTCGTGTGCATGCACACTTCTTCAGAAGAGTTCCTCCTTTGTTTGCTTCTGTTTAGAGTACAGAACGCTGATCAGAAGTGTGCATGCACACAAAAACTTATACCCAGAGCAAACTTGGTTGGTCTCTAAGGTGCTACTGGACAATTTTTTTAATTTTTAAAAAATATGTACTTTCAAGGCAGCTGTACATTTTACTGAGCTAACATAATAGGAGAATGATGAGCGATGTAATGTGGATATGCTCCAAATAATGCATTATGTTGCCACTCAGCAAATCTTCAGTTTAGGCTCCTAAGGAACAACTTAACAAAATGTTCTCTGCATAAGCCCCATCAAAATGAACTGGAGCAGGTGCAGCACACAATTCTGCACTCCTCATTCCAGATTTTGTGCATGCATCTCTGGAGCTCCTCATTCAACCATTGCAGAATGACGTTCCCATTACAACTGTAAGGGTTATCAAGACAGCGATGAAAGACTGGAAGTCAGGCAATAATAGCATTTTGGGAGAAGTTGTTTAAATCACTGTGAACAAAAATAATAGAAAAAGCCCTTTCTGGATCAAAAAATGATTAGTTTTAGTAACTTTAAACTATACTAATGATAGCCCTCATCAAATAATTATTACAGTTGTGCATTTAAGGACTCATCAGAAGCCACAAGGATGGTAGGCAGACAAGGCAGTGGGAGATGGTTGATGAAGGATGGAGCCCACCATCCCTCCTCTGTATACCACATAGGAAACAAGTAGGATATCAAAGTAAGGAAGCCCCCCCCCCCCTTCAGTGGACTGGTGGAGGTGGGATAGAGCTCTTGGTTCCTCCTATGCCACCATCGAGAAAACGAGTAAAAACTTTTGAAACTTCGTGGGCTTATTTACAAGATTAGATTATTATAGCTATTTAAGGACTATTAAGAGATACAAAACGATGAAAAGGCAACAAGCTGTTACTTCATAGAATTGACATTCTGTTAAATTGCTTTTCTAAATCCTGACAAAATCAAGACCCTGATTAATCCAAGATTTATTTATTTATTTATTTATTTATTTATTCAATCAATCAATCAATCAATCTGTGTTACCCAATTTATTCTTTAAAGTCTGATTTTCAAACATAAATACAATTCTCAATAAAGTAGCAGCACCAGCCTGAGCTCAATGGGACCTAATTCCTATTAAGTGTGTTTAGCATTGTAGTCAATACATACATTTAGTAGGCTATGGTATGCAAACTTATCTGAGAGTTTGTATCCCAGGAAGTCAATGGTGCTTTCTTATCTGTAGATACGTACAGGATAGTCCTGTAGATGAATTTTAAAAACAAACCCAAACTGGGCAAGACTCAGTCAGAATCTAAATCTGAAACATGCTTATAGTTCTAAATGCTTCATTGTTGATGCCACAAATGTAAACATACAGTGGTACCTCGGGTTACATACGCTTCAGGTTACATACGCTTCAGGTTACAGACTCCGCTAACCCAGAAATAGTACCTCAGGTTAAGAACTTTGCTTCAGGATGAGAACAGAAATCGCACGGCGGCAGCTAAAGTGGTGCTTCAGGTTAAGAACAGTTTCAGGTTAAGAACCGACCTCCGGAATGAATTAAGTACTTAACCCGAGGTACCACTGTATTGTCAAAAGAATAAACCACAGAGCCAAGGCACCCAGGGAGTTGGCACCTGTGGTTCCCAATATGCTTCATTCTTCTGCTCACCAAGAAGAAATTGATTTAATGGGATATTTGCCTGCAGCATTTCCTCATTTGGGCAGGGAAGAGAACATGTGATACTTGGATGATGGGTGGTATACAAATTTAAGAAAATAATAATATTTTTTAAAAGCCCAAAGCTCTCTCCGTATCTTTTCCAGGAGAGAACTGTGGAAAAGGGGCATAACTTCCAACAATCACATCTGAATAGGACCTATCTTGCTTTATTCAGTGTAAGCATATGATTAAACACCAATGCAACATTAATTTTTTCAAGTAAGGAAAAATACAGTAATGGTGAAAGAGCTCTCCTACAGACTGAAACAGTAACCTACAGTAGTAACATACCTTTAAGAGGATCATGTTCAGCCCTCATTATATCAATGAGTGAATTTTCCAAGGAATGCATATTCAGACTGTCATACATTCTGTTTCGATCCTAGAAAAGAACAAATACATAGCATTAAAGCTAAAAAAAAAGGAGAAAAGGACAGTATTTCTAGAATAAGTGAAAGTGTGCTATTGTTAGAATAGTCTTCATTTAGCCTTGTAATAAAGGTCTCTACATAAAATTTCCTTCCAACTGTTGGTACAACAGGACACAGATGCTTCTCATAGACATTTTTATAAATCAGTTTTTAAAAACTTACTTTTACTATAAACTAGAGGAAATGAAATATTCTATTGTCAGTGCTTTTCCTCACAGATTGACCCATTAACCTAGTCATGCTTACTTTGAAACAACTGCCACTGAAGTACCGGTAAGTTTGGCTTACACACGTGTATTTAGCATTAACTATATTTAGCATCTAACTAAACAGCTCAGATGCTATTTGGGAATTAGAAGTGAGTGTCTTCTGAAATACAGATTGTTAAAGAAATATGTTCGAACAACAAATAAAATCAAATCTATAAAGGTTAGGTTGGCAAGAAGCAACCTGCTTGGTTTATATGTCAGTTCAACTAGATCTGGTGCTTTTCCTTTGCAAACACCATATATTTATAAATGATCAGAATATTTAGAAAGAAACAGCCTCTCTCTCTGGACCCAGGGTTGTAATGTTACAGGGAACATTCAGGAGACAATTACAGGAGGACACCTAGATTTGACCAGAACCATCTAAGTAAAACTGGTAGGGGAATTATGGCACAATCATTACAGTGGTGCCCCGCAAGACGAATGCCTCGCAAGACGGAAAACTCGCTAGACGAAAGGGTTTTCCGTTTTTTGAGCTGCTTCGCAAGACGAATTTCCCTATGGGCTTGCTTCGCAAGACGAAAACGTCTTGCAAGTTTGGTCCCCTTGCTTAACACCGTTAATACAGTTGTGACTTGACTTCGAGGAGCAACTCATAGAACGCAGTGTACATAGTAGCCTTTTTTGAAGTTTTTAAAGACTTCGGTGATTTCTGAAGCTTTTCCAAAACTCCTTTTGCAGCCATTTGGTAAGTTAAGCTTTTAAAACTTTTTGGGGGGGTTTTGGATTTTGGGTTGGGGTGTTTGGAATTCAAGGACTTGGTGTTGGGGAGGGGTTTGCAAGAATCTGGAAGCTTGTGTTTTTTTCTGCATTTTTATGATTTTCTGTGACCATTGGGCCACTCTGCTGTTTTTTTAAAAAAATTCTGGATTTGAATTTCTGTGTGCTGGGTGGCTGGGGGAACAGTTGGGGAGGGGTTTGCAAGAATCTGGAAGCTTGTGTGTTTTTTTCTGCATTTTTATGATTTTCTGTGACCATTGGGCCACTCTGCTGTTTTTTAAAAAAATTTCTGGATTTGAATTTCTGTGTGCTGGGTGGCTGGGGGAACAGTTGGGGAGGGGTTTGCAAGAATCTGGAAGCTTGTGTGTTTTTTTTCTGCATTTTTATGATTTTCTGTGACCATCGGGCAACTCTGCTGTTTTTTAAAAAAATTCTGGGTTTGAATTTTGAAATGCTCTTTACAGTATGTGTGACTTTAAAGAGCACTTAATAAACTCTTGTTGTACCAAATGTGGCTTTGTTTGGACTTTTTTTGACCATAGGAACGCATTAATTGATTTTCAATGCATTCCTATGCGATTTCGTGCTTTGCAAGACGAAAAATTCGCTAGACGAAAAAATTCGCGGAACGAATTAATTTCGTCTTGCGAGGCACCACTGTATTTACTTCCTAGAAGTGCTTACTGTCCCAAGGAAGAATTAAAAATCAGACTGTTTCTGGTGCTCCTGCTAATATATTCCTCTTCACACAAACAACTCTAGGCATGACACTAAGGTGAATGGGTAGGAAACAGAGAATGAAGAAATCTATCCCATTTCCTTGTAACGCCAGGAGCAAAATAATGCATGTGCAGATTGTTCTGCAGGTCAGCAAATATTTTTTTCTGAGAGACACTTCAAGAAGAGAGAAGTAGGCCATCATCTCAACCTTTACCCTCTAATGATTTGTTTGCCACAGATGCAGCTTCCTTCACATCTAATCTGCCTACTAGTATGGCATACCACACTGCTCTAAACTATACTATCAGGTTATATTTAATCTGACAATCAGCCATCACCTTGAAATGAAACGAACACCATGAACACACACACTGCCTTTAGCATTGTTAACAATGCTACTTATGTTTTTGATTATCAAAAGGTTTACAGCAGAAAATGTCACTAATTGATTCATTTGGTTTGTTTAAAAAATGTTTTATTCAGTATTTCTTAACAGAAAGATAAAGCAGCTTATAGTCTAAAATAGTACAGAGACTGAAGCACCTTCTCTGAAGGTCTCAGTTGGAGGAGGGGAGAAGGGATTAATTCTTCCACTTTGGCTATGAGTACCTTCACACACAATGGGTTTCATTTATCTAATTAAGTCAGAGATGACCCTCTACAACCATTGATTTTGATCCATGACAGGGCCCTTTTCTTGGTGGTTCCCATGTTTTGAATGAGATGTATTTGTTTCCATCATAACAGACTTTCAGGAGTCTGTTTACCCATTTCTGTTTACCCACCCAGGCATTTGATGGCCGAAAGACACCACTCTTGGCAACCCTGAGATCACTGGATGAGAAAACATTTAACCGTTTTACTATTCTTTTAAATGTAACTTTTTTAGATGTTAATTAACTATGTTAATGGAGCTCGCTGGGGATCCTTCCCCAATAGGTCCACAATTTTGATGCAGGCACTAAGTGAAACCTTCTGAGTATGCATCTATTTTGCTTAAGAAATCTTTAAGAGTGTGAGGTTTTTGTCAGGAAGTCCGTATACTTTGGAACAAATATTTGATTTGTTTCATTGTACAGTAATTAGCTTTTGTGGTACCAATTTTTGCAACAATCACCAATCCTTCTTTATCCAGAAGATAGTGTGTAAATGATACTTGTAATCTATGAAACTGATCACCATAAGTTCCTAAGGACTGGAGCAGGAACAAAAAAAGGGGTAACATCATGTCTGACTACTGTTCTTCCTGGCCACCATTCCAGCCAGAAGCCATGTTTCATCTGGCCTATGTGAGAAGTCCCCTCCCCTAAGTGATTTCCAATGGAAGCACATTGAAGAACATAAGAATACAATAATATATATTGAAGAATATAAGAATAGCAGTAGCAGGAATATTACACAGCTGTGGAGAGACTTTACTATGACCCCCCACATTAGCTCTCTTTGTTACAATAACACTATAATATGAGCTATTAACTCTTGCTAATGTAACTAATATGCCCCAGAGATTGTTTGATTGGAGGCTACACATCTTTAAATAAATATTTCTTCAATCATCCTAAAAAACCCTTCAATTTACCATCTCTTTCCATAATATGTTACATTAGACAGTGAAAAAGGACCATCCTAAAATGATGGAACTGGAAAAATAAACATGGAGGCCACTTGCAGAAAATGGAATAGTATAAGCAGCAACCCAATAGTGGTGGTAGGGGACTGCTGTCTAATTTAACTCTTGAACACAATAGTGTAGTTTCCCAGGAATGTAAATTTAGATTTTTCACATGATGAGAAAGAAAAATTAAGAATTGCATACATGTAGTTTTTCCTTTATGGTTGAATGTCTAATTTCTACTTAAAAAACCAGACACACACTTTAAAATATAGCCTAATTAGATTTGTTCATGATACGTCAGTTTAACATTCTGTATTATTACACAGAGGGTCAACACCCACATACTCATCTAAATATTTACTGTTTATGCGATTCAAATAAAGCAAAATAGCATCTGATCTGATAAGACTTCAAGGAAACCAGCTTGACTTGTAGCTCAAAACTGTCACTACAGCTCAAGTTGGTTAGTAATCATCTTGCAGGAAATGCACACCATTCTGTAGAGTACAATATAGTAAACCTTCCTTCGCCATTACTTTTAAAATGATTGTCTGGTTTTAACTTTTCAGGCATGCTATTTTGAGTTCTACTTCCATTTACTTCCATGCAATACAATCCTTATTTCTAAAGAGAATCGTCTGGACAAGAGTCCAATAATGGACTCAAGAGAACATGAAGCTGCAGCACTGCTGAAGCTAAGCAAATCTAAACACTGCAGCCCCATGTAAGAGAATTCCAGGAGTATATAAATTATTCTTAAAATTGTATTATAGCATGCTACCCAGTTTCTTCTCTTGCAGCTACCCATTAAATATGTATTATAGTGGCCTCTATAGTACTGACAAGTCAGGGAAAGGGGAGCTATGATTTTAAGCCTATATATCACGTCTATGTATCACCTCCAATTTCTCAGATGCTTCATCGTAATGAAGGCAAATTTCTTGCCATAAGAACCTGCTTTTCTTTGTTTTAAAGCAGACATGGAGAAACATGTGGCCCTCCAGATGTTTTTCTACTCCAACTGCCATTAGCTCAAGCCAACAGAGCCGATGATCGGAAATGATGCGAGTTGTAGTGCAGGAACATCTGGAGGACCATAGGTTTCCCATCCCCAACTTAAAGCAACATATACATTGACTGTCATATAATAATACAATACTGAACAGTGTCGGTACTAAATATGGGCATAATTGTAACTTGTGCTTGTTTATTCTAGTTTATTGAAAAGGGTGTGGGATCATTGCCTCTTGGGAAAAACCATTACTCCAACTATTAGCTTTTCTAATCTTGGCTGCCCTTTTATTCCTAAAGCATTTACTTAGAATTAAATCCCTATGGATTACTTTAGCTGTAGTAGCACAAAAAACATGAAAGATTCCAAGTATCTAAAGTAGCAATCTGCACATTGCAAAACATCCAATACTGCCCAGCAAACAACTACACATTATGGTCCACAACAATTCACTTTTTCAGACTTTTGAAAACCATTTCACAAGTTTTCCAAAAATTTAGATTTACAGCACAGACTAGCCCATTAAAGTATTAGTAGTGTGCTTCCAAGGCTCCTTTGTGACAGTTGTGGGGGGTTGGAGTGTGTGTGTGTGTGTGTGTGTGTGTGAGAGAGAGAGAGAGAGAGAGAGAGAGAGAAAACTGTAGGTGTTTTGCATGAATTATTTTAATGGTATAATTCATGTTTATGTTTTTAGATATGTCATAAGAAACTTGGAGACCTTTGGGTAACAAGTGACTACCAAATCTAAGAAATAAAACAACAACAACCATTATCACAAAACTTTGAATCTGAGTTTGACCTGAGTGTCCAATGCACTGTAGAACCTGAAGGACAAAACATGCACAAATATGTATAGTCAGTAGGGTTCCTCCAATCAATGTTGTAATTTGAAGGTTGTAATCTAATACTCATTTACTAGGAAGGAAACTGCACTAGAACTTACTCTTGGGTAAACATGCTTAGGATTGCACTGTATGTTAGCTAATGTCCAAATACATGGAGGACCCACTGAACAAACCTACAACCGTGTCCAACAATGTTCATGTGAATGTAAGAAATTTATGCAGGGATTCTGCACTTGCAACAGACGTTTTAATAGAAAGAGTACACAACACTATTTTCTCCCAAAGAAGCAACATGTTCAATGAGATTACAAGAAGCTATCCTTGAGCACTCCTTGGTTCTGCTGCCTACAGTGCTAGACAGTGTTACCAGGGAACAGCAACAGAGGGACCTTACTCCTGCAACAGTCACATGAATAAACAATGAAGGAGCCAGAACAGAATGTTACTCTTCTCTTTAAAGAGCATTCTGTACCCTTGTTTCTTCCTCATTTTAATTCTTCACTCAGTGTAAACAGTACAGAAATTAAATAACTGCAAGTACTTAAAGCACATTTGTTAATCTGAAGTTTCCTCAAATATGACCTAAGTGCTTGGGACATTTGCAGGCATCTAGCCACTCTCCTTCTTAAATGAGCAATGCAAAGAAATAGAGGAAAACAACAGAATGGAAAGAACCAGAGATCTGTTCAAGAAAATCGGAGAAATGAAAGGAACATTTTGTACAAAGATTACCATAATAAAGGACAAAAGTGGTAAGGACCTAACAGAAGCAGAAGACATCAAGAAGAGGTGGCAAGAATACACAGAGGAATTATACCAGAAAGATATGGATGGCTCGTACACCCCAGGTAGTGTGGTTGCTGACCTTGAGCCAGACATCCTGGAGAGTGAAGTCAAATGGGCCTTAGAAAGAATTGCAAATAACAAGGCCAGTGGAAGTGATGGTATTCCAGCTGAACTATTTAAAATTTTAAAAGATGATGCTGTTAAGGTGCTACACTCAATATGCCAGTGAGTTTGGAAAACTCAGCAGTGGCCAGAGGATTGGAGAAGATCAGTTTACATCCCAATCCCAAAGAAGGGCAGTGCCAAAGAATGCTCCAACTACCGCACAATTGCACTCATTTCATACACTAGCAAGGTTATGCTTAAAATTCTACAAGGACGGCTCAAGCAGTATGTGGACTGAGAACTCCCAGAAGTGCAAGCTGAATTTAGAAGAGGCAGAGGAACCAGAGACCAAATTGCAAACATGTGCTGGATTATGGAGAAAGCTAGAGAGTTCCAGAAAGGCCTCTACTTCTGCTTCATTGACTATGCAAAAGCATTTGACTTTGTCGACCACAGCAAACTATGGCAAGTTCTTAAATAAATGGGAGTGCCTGATCACCTCATCTGTCTCCTGAGAAATCTCTATGTGGGACAAGAAGCTACAGTTAGAACTGGATACGGAACAACTGATTGGTTCAAAATTGGGAAAGGAGTACGACAAGGCTGTATATTGTCTCCCTGCTTATTTAACTTATATGCAGAATTCATCATGCGAAAGGCTGGGCTGGATGAATCCCTAGCTGGAATTAAGATTGCCGGAAGAAATATCAACAACCTCAGATATGCAGATGACACAACCTTGATGGCAGAAAGTGAGGAGGAATTAAAGAACCTTTTATTGAGGGTGAAAGAGGAGAGCGCAAAATATGGTCTGAAGCTCAACATCAAAAAAACAAAGATCATGGCCACTGGGCCCATCACCTCCTGGCAAATAGAAGGGGAAGAAATGGAGGCAGTGAGATTTTACTTTCTTGGGCTCCATGATCACTGCAGATGGTGACAGCAGCCACGAAATTAAAAGACGCCTGCTTCTGGGGAGAAAAGCAATGACAAACCTAGACAGCATCTTAAAAAGCAGAGACATCACCTTGCCAACAAAGGTCCCTATAGTAAAAGCCATGGTTTTCCCAGTAGTGATGTATGGAAGTGAGAGCTGGACCATAAAGAAGGCTGATCGCCGAAGAATTGATGCTTTTGAATTATGGTGCTGGAGGAGACTCATGGACTGCAAGAAGATCAAACCTATCCATTCTTAAGGAAATCAGCCCTGAGTGCTCACTGGAAGGACAGATCCTGAAGCTGAGGCTCCAAGACTTTGGCCACCTCATGAGAAGAGAAGACTCCCTGGAAAAGACCCTGATGTTGGGAAAGATGGAGGGCACAAGGAGAAGGGGACGACAGAGGACAAGATGGTTGGATAGTGTTCTCGAAGCTACCAGCATGAGTTTGACCAAACTGCGGGAGGCAGTGGAAGACAGAAGTGCCTGGCGTGCTCTGGTCCATGGGGTCACGAAGAGTCGGACACGACTAAACGACTAAACAACAACAAAAAGCCATAGAATCATAGAGTTGGAAGAGACCACAAGGGCCATCGAGTCCAACCCCCTGCCAAGCAGGAAACACCATCAGAGCACTCCTGACATATGGTTGTCAAGCCTCTGCTTAAAGACCTCCAAAGCCACTCTACTACATTATAAATCCTAAGCATGTTCACACAACAGAAGGTCCAATACACTCTCTCTCTCTCTCTCTCTCTCTCTCTCTCTCTCTCTAGATATATAAAACCCCACAAACTTATACAGTGCTACATTATGTTATGAACTTAATTCGTTCCAGAGGTCCATTCTTAACCTGAAACGATTCTTAACCTGAAGTACCACTTTAGCTAATGGGGCCTCCTCCTGCCGCCACCGGTGCACAATTTCTGTTCTCAGTCTGGCGCAAACTTCTTAACCCGAGGTACTACTTCTGGGTTAGCGGAGTTTGTAACCCGAGGTGTTTGTAACCCAAGGTACCACTATAATTTATTAACTACATCTTTAAACAATGGCAAAAAACAAATGTCAGCATCAAATAATCTTAGACCAGGGATCATTTCAAGGCCAGGCAATCACTACTGAGAAGGTCCATTCCGTGTCACCATGCTACATCCTGTGTCTGGCGATGTAGCCAAGAAAAATGCATCTCCTGTTGATCTTAACACATGGATAAGCCCATGAGGGAGAAATTATTCACATATTCAGGCCACAAGTCATTTATGGTTTCATATATCTACACCATCACCTTGGATTGGGATTGGAAATGTATAGGCAGCCACCACAGGTTCTTCAGGACTAGTGCTATATTGTCCTAACCTGGTGTACCTAGTTAACTTCCTAGCAGCTGCGTTCTACAGCTTCCCAAACAGCTCCTCAAAAAACTTCACAGCAATCCAAATAGGATGTTATCAGAGCAAGTGTTACCATGGGAACGGAGCTGGGGAACCAAGCAGAACTTTTATGAAATTTTACAATTATAGCAAAGTATGTATCTCAAATATAAAATCACTAAACAAACAAAGCAAAAATAATAATCTGAGTCAATATAGGTTAAAAAAAAATCCCCTAAAATACATGAAATCAATTACAGAGGAACTGTGGTGGACTGACAATAATGTCAGTACTAGGTTATACTTACTCAACTTTGTTATCTGTCAGGTAGAGGACAACCATGTTCCTTCATGTTTGTAAAAACAATAAAATCACACCAAGCTGCCAAAAACAAGTCATGTCCACATTGACTCAATTTCCACATCCACTTAAACTTATGTATCAGTTTCTCAAGTAATGCTGCTTCCTTAGACCTTTTGGTAGCAAGAATCTATAGTTACTGCACAGAAGTCACACCAGGCGCATGCCACCAACACTGACTGCAGATAACAAACTGTTTATTAGTTTGCTACTTTTCATACTTCTATGATGACCTAGAAATAAATTTAAAAGAGCCAGTTGCAGCGAGTTTTTTGCAGCCTGTCTTGTAATGGCTCTAATTTCACTAAAACTCACTGGCAAAATTCCCAAACTCTGTGGCTTCCCCACCACATATGAAGGTAAGTTTCAATTACCTGAACTCTCTCCAACACAATGGAGAGGATCTAGGGTTGATATGACATACTTCTGTGGAATAAGATAGCAGTTATGAATTAGTTTTAATAATGATCCCTTAATCAGAGTTACTGATTTGAAAGGTTTATCCCAAAGTGAGATCAGTTGTCCATCATCTATTTCTACTTAACTATTTTCTTTTTAACACATACAAAGACCATCTACTGCACCTTCCTCATGGTTTATCAGTAACCTATACATTGTTTGGGGCCAAACCCGTCTTACTACTCACAGTCTCCAGCAAACAAAGTAAGCCTTCTATAGGCAACTTCATAAATCTCAGGCTTCAACAAAAAAAAGAGCACAGCTGAACCCAAGAGAACCATGATAGTAATGTGGCTCTAAAATTCTCTCTAACCATGTGTTCAGTAATTAGTGTTCTGCATAAAGAAATTGGAGAACCAATACAACCACTTAGCACACCATACCTCAGACTCAAAAGCTCTGTGTCTATTGAAGAAAGAGGGATGAAAGACTAACAGCAACAATGGAGACACGGCTGGCATTAAAATAGACATGTTAGATTCCTTTAATGGTTCTAGGGGTTGCTCGTGCGTAAGCCGGTGCTTATCTCCCCGGCTGGGTGCAAACACCTGGCTGGGTTGCCTGAGTGAACCTTTTCTGTCCGGACAGCCACTCACCTGTGGCTGACTCAATCGCTGGCAGAATCCGTCAGTGGGCGTTTCTTAAACTTCTTCCAGCAAAGAAGCTCTTTGACGCCTAGTCTCCTCCTACTCTCTCTGCGCGAAAGCCTTCTGCGCAAGGAGGGCATGGGCAACGGAGGACCCCTACTCTCCCCGCTGGTCCCAGGCAAGGAGTCATGGGACCGCCTCGCCGCTTCCCCCATCTGCCCCCCTTCTCCACTGGTGCTACGCTGATTCTCTTCCCCAGAAGATGGGCTGCTTCTCCCGATCCCTGGACGCTCTCTGGAATCCCTCTGGCTTTTGCTCTCTCCCTCCGGCACTGATGGCAGTTCCCTGACAATTCCCAAACCTTAAACTTTTCCAGCATCACACAATTGTTGAGCCAATGAAAGGACCTAAATTTAATATTTAAGAAGAGGAAATACACCTAAGAACACAACCTAGGAGTACCAAGTAGTCTTCACCTTGTGCCAAAATGATTGTGAAGGTGAGACTGGCACCAGGGAAGCCTCTCAGGGGACAGCTGATATGCTACCAACAAGAAGGGCCTTCTCCTGGTAGCTACCATTTGGCAAGGGTATTAGTAGAGACCCTGAAGAGTAGGGATAGGGGAGAAATTAGATATCATTTACATTTAAAGGTGAACCTGCCCAATGTTCACTTCTGAAACAATATAAGAACCAAATGCAGCTATCATTCGAAATTTGCACTTATCTGAATTTTGCAGTGCAACTCTCCAACCAATGTTTATAAAATTGCCTGTATCAGTGGAAAGTGTTCATAAAAATGAATATATTTATGAAAATAACATACAAAATATTAGGGAGAATTCTTGCAAACTGTGTAGTCAAAACTGTACAATAAACATGTAATTATTAGAAGACATTTGTACTAAAATGCTGATAAATATTAATATTTCTAATCCACGAATTGCTGCAGAAATTTGGAAAACTGAAATTAGAAAAATCAGAAACTGAGAACACCAAAGTTGAAAGGTATGCTCATCCCTAAAGAAGACTATCTCAAAATGTGGGTGGATATAACTGGGAGAAGATTATTTTAAGATGTCCTGGTCCTAAGCCAACTGAGGGCATTTAAGGTTAAAACCAAGAGTCAGAAAAGAGACTGGGACCTCATCTGCACTATACATTTAATGCAGTATCATATCATTTTAAATAGTTGTTGGGTTTCCCCAAAGAATCCTGGGAACTGTAGTTTAAGGATTGAGAGTTGTTAGAAGACCCCTGGTTTGACAGCCAATCCCTCTTCCCTGGGAATTGTAGTACTGTAGGGGAAAAGGCCTCTCCTAACAACTCTCTCTCTGCATCTTTAACAAATGACAGTTCCCAGGATTCTTTGGTTGAAGCCATGATTGTTTAAAGTGTTATGATGCTGCTTTTAATGTATACTGTGGTACCTCTGGTTATGAACTTAATCCATTCCGGAGGTCTGTTCTTAAGCCGAAACCGTTCTTAACATGAGGTGCGCTTTCGCTAATGGGGCCTCCCGCTGCTGCTGCACCGCCGGTGCGCGACTTCCGCTCGCATCCCGGGGCAAAGCTCACAACAAGGGGCAACTACTTCCGGGTTAGCAGAGCTCATTACCTGAAGCATTCGTTAGGAGGACGGGATGTAACACGAGGTTCCACTGTAGTGCAGATGAGGCCTGTCAGCCAGTGTAGCTGATAAGACACCAGCATACTGTTACTGAATCATCTAGACCCAGTTCACTATCTTGCAGTCCAACTGTACTTTCTGGATATTTTTTTTAAAGAGCCTGCATACACAGTGTTAAAATAATCCTGGGTATGTTTATGTGACACTCTTGGGCAAAATGGTACCTATGAGGAGTATCTCTGGCACCTGCCATGCTTCTGAACCCATATATCTATATTCTCACTGTCCCCAACATTATGTACTGGTAAGGACAGGTTACCTTTGCTTCCCTTGAGAAGTATGCAACAATGAAGGAGGAAACTGGAAGAGCAGCACTCTTTTTAACTGCCCAGAGTGGCTGGGGCAACCCAGCCAGATGAGCGGAATATAAATAATAAAATTATTATTATTTCAGCTCTGTGCTCCTCATGAATTGGGTCAGCAGCTGAAATGCTGATCTAAGCTTTGAAAAAGCACATTGAGTTGAAATGAAGTGGGAAAGAACATTACCCTTCCAGCTTTGTCTTTCATATTTCTATACTTTTCAAGGCTCAGACTGCAACCTGAGCAGCTGAATAAAAAGCAGAGTGGCCAAGAAGGTAGGAAGGGAAGGATAGCTGAATCAGAGCAAATGCCAATTTGAGTTTTCCATGGATTGAAGTTTGCTCTGACAGAGCTTTAAAGAGCAGGTTTTCATGGTGGAGGGAGAGGTGCTTGGACACAGAGCTTTAAATTGCAGACAGTGTCTGTAAGGAATGGAGGAAAGGTAAGTGTGGAAAAGCGCACAAGAGAAACAGACAGACAGATGGAACACCCACGTACGGAAGCTGGATCCAGTGAAATGGATACCATTGGAACTGACTAAATTTTCAGTTTCCCCCACCTCTTTCAAATCACAGATCCCAGCTGTCTTCATTGACTAAACCGTAAAAATAATAGGATTTAGTTCCCAATACGCACAGATCCATATAGATTCTCAAAATTTTTCAAAGGACCCAGTCAAACTACCATCAAATTGTAGTTCACATCTGTGTTCTGTGATTTGTTGCTGATTTTATTGGCATACTGTGTAAAAAAATATGAAGATCCATGAGGATCTGTACCTAGAATCAATATTTCAGGGTGCTAACAAGCACTGCATCTGATTTTTTACCATGCAGTCTACCACTGCAAAGTTTAATTTAACATAAGAACCCCATGTAACATAATGCAAATTCAAAAGGATCCATTTTAATCCTATTATGAATGTGTCCACAGATCCCAAAAATGTTTGTGACCTCTGTATTGTTGAAGCAGGAGGTTTAACAGGGTCTGGATAAGTGGTGTCAGGCCATCTCCTCCCAGATATGCTTGCTGTTGGTGTATCAGCCAAGGTACTCTAAACCTTGGAAGTCTCTTGACACAAATGATGCAAGCTTTCCTGGATGCCTACATCGCTACCTGAATAAAGTGTGCTCTAAAGTAAAAAGGTTATACCACAATTCTCTTTGCTGCAATACATTAATATGTAATTCCTTCTGAAACTTGCACACACAGTTGTTCAGAACCTCTGATTACCTCCAAGTGATTTCCAAACAAGAAAAAGAGCTATCAGAATAATGCAAAATAAGAATATGTATTTCCTGGATACAAAACTAACACAGAGAAAAAACAACAGAAGTTGTTACACAAGTCTAATATTTTTTCTTTTGGGAACCACAGATTTCGATGTGTTTGCTGTTCAAAAGCTGTAACAAATAATTGAGCAAGGGTCATAGGCCATGACAGCTTTACCACTGTCATGACTATATGAGCTTTACAGTTTTTTTTTAGCAATGATAAAGGAACAATAAAATAGCTACATGTTAAAGTGGCAAAGTATAAAAAAGCTGCATATTAAAAGCTGGAAGACTACGGGGAAACTACTTTAAGATACAGCAGTTGCAGCTTGAAAAAATCTATCAGATTTCTAGTGCAAGATATGGAAACTGCTAGTTCAATATATCTTGGATTCAGTTTTGCTGAAATGAACCTGTAATCTCTGCATATGTTATTAACAATGTAATATTTATAGCTCTCTATAATGCATTTTCCTCAAATGCTGGCATTTGTAAGTTGCAAATGGGTTAAAATTCACATATTGAACTACTTAGGGTAAGGTTTCTGGAGCGAAATTAACATATTTGCCCAAGGTTTGAATACAATCTCTAAAAAAAATATTTTACTTGTTCATGGGATATCCAAGATGGATCACATTGTCACTGAGCCAGTCTAATGAAAACACCAGTTTGGAATATTTGTAATGCAACTGTAGGCTTAGCACGACAATCCTTTTTCCTAATCATAAAATAATTTTCAGCTTCACCTTTCAGCTTTTTGCTACATCTGATAAATTTTAATGATATCTGTGAATCTCATAGTTCTATCTGGGATAAAAATCAACAGGTTTCTAAAAAAGCTCCCTTTTGGTTAAATTCTAATGATTTCATTATCATTTATATGAGAATTCCTTGCTTCAAGGTAATGCCCAGTGAAGGAAATAAATAATCCTAACTTCACCTATACACAGGTGATGGTGGGGAGGTCTAAACTGACAGTCACAGACCAGAAGATAAAAAATAGCACAATGAAAATGTAAAGTTTGCATGTTGCAGCTGGGATAGCAACAGCAAATTCCATGTTGGGAATGATTAAGGGGACTGAAAAGAAAATTGCTAGTCTCACCCTCTCAAGGAGGACAACATAGAACAGAAAAAGGTACATAAAAGGACAACAAGAATGATAAAGGTAATGAAACATCTTCTCTATGAGGAAAGGCAAAAGTATTTGGAACTATTTAGCATAGTAAAAGATTTACTGAGGAAGGAATATGGCAGAAGTTTATAAAATTATACACAATCTGGACAGAGTGAAGAAACACTGGCTCCATTCAGATGTCATGCTAAGTCATGGTTCAAGGTGACGTGAGTGAGCCTACTCTCTTCCCACGTTTTGTGTTTGCCTTTGTTTCCCAAACCATAACTAAGAGCCAAAGTGGAAAGTTCTGAACTCCTTCTCTTGGTCATGTGGGTTGAAGCAGAGTGAATAGGACTGGGCAGTGTCCGAAACTCAGATACATAAGCTCAATGCCAAATGGCTCCATAAACCAAGGTTAGAGTCAGCAAAACAAAATGTCTAGGGGTAAGATGGCTCTAAAGTCTTATATGATGGACTATGACTGATTATCAATTAAATAACTGGCTAGTTCAGATGACAACCTTGAGCTAGGTTAAGAACTTTGAGAACTTAAAGTCACTGGATCCAGGGAGAGTCCACATATGTATTAGCCTATTCCTACCTCTTTTTCATAACGGTGACTGCTGCTGCCCAGGCTGCACAGAAAAAGCATTTTGGTTCCTGAAATTATTTTCAATTGTACAGATAAAATATAACTGATAGAATTGTACAGGATGTGGTATTAGTGTGTGAAAACAGTCCAATGAACCTCAGGCATGCACTTCCAGATGGTGGAGATGTCAGGCACCATCCAGGCATCTTCATTTGGTCACAAGTGTCGAAAACCAGGTGCAAAATGTGCCTGGCTAATTCCGAACACTGGGCCTGGGAGGAGGTTAGGTGCATTCATGCAACGCTAAGCCATTCACTTTCTCCCTGTTTCACAATGCTGCAACTCCAGTTCTTATATTCTTAATTACCCTCATCCAAATGAGATATTTAAACTGACAGACAAGACCACCAGACCTTGATTTTCTTAAGAGTCTGCAGTTATTCTTAATTACATTAATATACTGTATATCCTTCTTAAGAATTCACCAAGATATTTTACAGACCTTCCAGTCCATTCTAACTTCCCTAGAAATAACTTATTTAAAGTTGAAAGCTATTACTCTGGTTTTTGATATTATCTTGTTTTAATCCAAGTTATATTCAAATATTTTACTGTTTTTAAAAAACCTCAAATGTGGAACTGGAGTTCCCTTACCAAAAAATATGCGACTTGCTGTCACACAGGACCTTGGTCTCCTCCCTCCATCATTTCTCTAAGCCAGACTGTCATGTGTCTCCCACTAATTCTACTCACATGGGAAAAGGTACTTAAGAAGCCTACCTGGGATATGTGACAAATCTGACAAAATGACTATGGCTCTCATTGGTCAGAAAGATCCAAAGGTCACTCTCTTCAGGGAGAGGGGAGAAGGGAGAGGAGAGAGAGTATTTAAAAACTGAGCTGCTCTTGCAACTTTTGTCCCTCTCATAATCAGGAATCCAGGCTGGCTCTTCCATATCACCAGGAAGCTAACCAGCCTCACTGCCTATGTGTAAGTAGACTGAGATCATTGTGCTATTAGCAGTTAGAATAAAAGTAATCAGGTGTTAGAGCCTTCCAGCTCTTTTTAATATTTCTGTTGGACCTTATTGCCCTTTTCCTCGTGTACTCTTAATAAACTTTCACAACTGAACTAGTGGAATCAGTATGTGACTGCCACCCTCAGGATTCGGGAATCACCACGCACCTAGGTTGCTTTGGGTTTAACGCTATTGAAATCTAAGAACAGAGTTAGGAAATCCAGTAATTTGCCCTATTGTCAGGGAGAAACAGAGCGCTGGAGAACTGACTTTACACTCTACATAAATTGCAAGGGATTGGCTGGAGACATGAAGCCTGCTAATCCAGGATCCCGGAATTTAACCATTAATTGGATATCCTCATTCCCTACCCCTTGTTTCTGGGGATATAGGTGACCAAAAAGGAGCGGTGGCAGCAGCAACTACTGGATATTAAGACTCAACTCTTAGTACTGCAGAGCAAAGAAAGGGGTGTGAGACGCTGTCCTAAGCATCCTCCCTTCTTCATGTCTATCACTAAAGCTGACCTCCTCAACATGGGGTTAGAAAGAAGCCAATTGATATTTAAAACTATGGAGATAAGGGTTTAAGTCAGATAACTGCATGACTAAGATAATAATAATAATAATAATAATAATAATAATAATAATAATAATAATTTTTATTTATACCCCGCCCTCCTCAGCCAAGGCCGGGCTCAGGGCGGCTAACAAGCAATAATAAAAACAAGATGCCTTAAATTAGGCATGATGTGAAGAACTGGAAAAGAGAGGGGCTTTTTATACATGAAAAAACAATAAAAATTACAATATGGGTCATTCAATGAAATTTATTGGCAATTGATTAAAGGAAGACAAAAGAAAGGACATCTTCACACAATGCATCATGAGATTTCTCTTGGCACAATAAATGGTGAAGACCAGGGAGTGAGATGACTTTAAAGGGGGATTAGACAAATTCATGGAGCATATGTTTATCAGCTATTAATCATGTACACTAAATGGAGTCTCCAGATTCAGAGGAATAGTACCTCAAAGTACAATGGGGGAGAGTATTGTATTCATGCTTTGCACAAATCCTAATCTAAAATACTTCCATATGAGAAACTGCACAAGTCCTGCACATAAAACTTTACATGTGAAAACAGCATTAAATGTGAGGAAAAGCTACAATTCATGACAACCTACTAATGTGTCAACAACTTTCTACTATAGGCACAGGGCACTATTACATGCATACATAGATTCATCAAGGTGTTTTAGTCCAGACAACAGGAAGAGATTGCTCTATTACAGAGACAAACTACATGTGATGCACAAGATCTGTGATTAGATACTGATGGCATATTTTATTTTTTTGCTAAAAGTGCATATGAACGAGGGTATTTGACATCTAGATCAGGGAGCACAAGCTGTATAGGGCAAAACATACAGGTGCAATCAGAGAAATGGGGTTTGAGGGGGGAAAATGAACTGGAAAATTCAATCTCATTGTCTAGCCTACAAATTAGGGTAATTTGCAGGTTAACTTACATCTGAAAACTTTCAGTTAGCATGGGGGGAGGGAGAGTAGAATTTGGTGCCCTACAGAGTTCTAATTTAGTATGGCTGTTTTATTTGTATTTAATGCACTAAGCTAAAACTTTTGAAAGTGCCTAGCTTGTCTAAAACTATTTGAAATTTCTTTCTGCACATCCATACTTAGTTTCCACAGAAAATAAAGCTACAAAATGTTCTGCCCCACATGACTGGGTGCAGTTTGTGCTCATATTCCACTCCATGGGGAAAGTATTGTTGGGGTTCTAGTATACTAGCTTCTGCATAGCATTTTAGAGAACCAAAGGTAATAAGGCCACCAAGACCCCAAGATCCTTTTCCCATGTACTGCTAGTAAGCCAGGTGCCCCCCCATCCTATATTTGTGCATCTGGTTCTTCTTGCCTAAGTGCAGAACCTTACATTTGCCCCTACTGAAATTCATTTTGTTAGCTTGTGCCCAGTTCTTCAATCTGTTAAGGTCATTTTGAATTCTGATTTTGTCTTCTGCAGCATTAGCTACCCCTCCCAGTTTGGTGTCATCTGCAAATTTGATTAGCATCCCCTCAATTTCTTCATCCAAGTCATTTATAAAGACATTAAACAACAACAGGCCCAAGACAGAACCGTGTGGCACCCCACTTGTTACTTTTTTCCAGGGTGACAAGGAACCATTAATGAGTACTCTTTGGATTCAGTCAGTCAACCAGCTACAAATCCACCTAACATTTACCTTGTTCAACCCACATTTTAGCAGCTTCCTTGTGAGAATATCATGGCAGACTTTGTCAAAAGCCTTACTGAAATCAGGATACACTATGCCCACAACATTTCCATGATCTACCAAGTTTGTAATTCCATCAAAAAAAGAAATCAGATTGGTCTGGCATGACTTATTTGTGAGAAACCCATGCTGGGGCTTAGTAATCACAGCATCCCTTTCTAAATGCTCACAGACCAACAGTTGAATTATCTGTTCTAGGATCTTCCCTGGTATCGATGTCAAGCTCACTGGTTGGTATTTCCTGGGTCATCCCTTTCCCCCTTTTTGAAGATGGGGACAATATTTGCCTGCCTCCAGTCTGCAGGGTCCTCACCTGTTCTCCAAGAAGTCTCAAAGATAATAGACAAGGACTCTTAAAATACATCCACAAGCTCCTTTAGTCCCCTTGGATGCAGTTCATCAGGCCCTGGAGATTTGAATTCATTTAACGTAGCTAGGTGTTCCCTTACTACCTCTTTTCCTATCCTGGGCTGCAGCTCCCTCCTTATATCATTTATTCTGTTATCACCGGGTTGGGCATTGCTTTCCTTTTGGGTGAATATAAAATAAAATCCTTATTTACCTCGAGATCACACAGTGTTTGTTGGGAAAAGATCTTTCAATTTTGCTTTTAATAGCAGAAGCCAATAAGCCAGTAGGATGGCATGAATAATCATGTCATATAACAAAGGCAGAGAATTACTGTATTTTTTTGCTCTATAAGACTCACTTTTTCCCTCCTAAAAAGCAAGGGGAAATGTTTGTGCGTCTTATGGAGCGAATGCAGGCTGCACAGCTATCCCAGAAGCCAGAACGGCAAGAGGGATCGCTGCTTTCGCTGCGCAGCGATCCCTCTTGCTGTTCTGGGCTTCTGGGATTCAGAATATTTCTTTTCTTGTTTTCCTCCTCCAAAAACTTGGTGTGTCTTATGGTCTGGTGCGTCTTATAGAGCGAAAAATACAGTAACTGGAAGATAGCACTGTACAGGTGCCCGTGTAGATCATCCATACTTAACGCAGCCAAGATGCAATGAGGAATAATCACAATCATAGAACATACTCAGAAGAATAACTGAACTGTTATGGTGCTGTCTCAGCTACAATAGCTGCCAATCTCTCCACTCATAAAATGTGCAAAAGCCATTTGCTATTCCAGAAGTGTGGGAAACAACAACAACAACAACAACAATAATAATCCTATTGTCTTATACTTGTTTTATCTGCTTGCTTACAATTCATAAACAATTTCATGCTATACAGAACAAAATGATCCTAACTACTATCAACTTCACAGATTAAAGTTTATTAACTTTTTTATATAAAAAGGTAGACTTGACATAAATACTACAAGGTCAGAATGAGAATGTCTGTAGCTCATGCTGGTCCTCTTCTTTTTAATTCACATGCTTTAGTGTTACAGCCTGGGAGAGCTTAGCTTCAATATGATAAAATTAGTTTCAAAAACTGTATAAAATGGTGCAAGGGTGGAGTCAAACATGCATCCTTTGTTACAATGGATGTTGCAAGACATTTATGAAATCTACTTCACACAGCACTAAGAAGTGTAGAAGGAATAAATTCATGTTTTCCCAATAGCAAAGTATTGTGTTTTCAGTGCTAGGAAAATTCAATTCCTTCTCAACAAGACTTCCTTGAAAGTGATCTCCAGATTTCTCAAAGTAATGGAAATGCCACTGCACATTAATAAATGAAAGATAATGGTCATACTGACTGCTAACCTCACTGTTAAGGTATTTTTTAAGGTATTAAGGTATTTTTCGTACTTTGAGAATACTTTCAAATGGAGGAAGAGTAGAGGAAAGACTCTGTTGATATATGGGGCACTGGTTTAGCAGTATAGTAAGCAGTATTAAGAGTCAAGGCAAAATGGAGTAAGATCTCCTATTCCTGAATGACAACTCCACCCAGTTACCAGTACACAATATCCAAGTTGCTTCTCAACACAGCAATATTAACCATAACACTTTTTAAAAAAAATTACAGTGTGTGTGGAACAATTTTCAATTTGCATTCCCAAAACCATAAGCAATATAAACTGAGACTTTATAAAAAAAAAAAAAAAAATTAAGCCACTAAATTCTGTACAAGTGCACGTGTATCACTGACACACAGATACCTCAAATTTCTGTGTCACTCAAACATCTACAAATGCATCAAGAAAAGCTGGCCCAACAATAGTATTATGAAGTTTCAGAACTTAATAGCTAGCACATGCAAAAACTAAGTGTTGAATGAAAGATGATTTTCAAGATAGGACACACAGCTTTATACAATGCCAACTGCTGCAGTTAAATCCAGTTACTTCAACATCATTTCTACACATTTCTGCCCTGCAGGATGCAAGCTTCCAGCCTAAATGGGGAGCACAAAACTATGCCCACTAGAGGCCTACTCAATGTCGAATGAAAGTGTTGCCTCCTGTATCTTTGATCTGAGGCGATCTACATTGAAATTCCATTTTCAAAACAACATGGTTGATTTATAGTTTGTGATCTTATACACAGATTGTTTTCTCATTACTGTCTAGGCAAGCCACTCCACTGTTATCTATTAAGATTTTTTTTATGTGCAATATACTTTAACATTGCTCTGGATAACGTCTTATTGAACTCTAATCCTAGCCTTGGTTGCAACATCTGCTAGTGTACACAACTTCAACAGCACCAGACTCTTGGGGCCCAGGGAACATTTTTCCACCTGTGTTGGGAGTGTCTGATTGTAAAAAAAAAGTCATGGCATAATGTGTTTCATTAGTTTTCCATTATCTTCAAAACTTCTATTCAAATAACTCTACAAGGCTGGCTTTTAAATATATGGCACAACCAAACTCGACAACTGCACCCCAAAGAGCTTACAACATGGCTGCTGGTACCACCTAGGATTATCCATGTTGCAAAAATTGAAGACACTAAGATCTGCAAATTTCTTTATGGTATAACAATGCATGGAACTTGACAACCAGAGAAATTATAATGTACAATGTAAAGTCCCCAAAGCTCTCAAACACCCAGAACATACTTTACTTTATGGTGGGACTATATTACTCATACTAATACAAATAATTTTCATTAATAAGTCCATATGCCATGCTTTGAAGAAAAGCATGGCATATGGACTTATTAATAGTTGTTCTTTGATATGTGTCTACATCACTCATGTACTCATTGAAAGAAGTGATAATACAACACATTTTCTTTGATATTTCTGCTATTGCCTTGTTTTGTAGTTTATGCAAAAGTGAAAAAAACTCAATTCCCCCCCCCCCCCCCGATTCTCTAAGTACCAAGTTGCTCATTTCAGTGGTATGAAATGCAGGGAAAACTGACAAGGAAACCAGAGTTAATTTACAAGGAAAATCATATGACAAAAGTATAAAAAAGAGAATACTTGCATTCCAAATCTAAACATTTGCAGTGCCATGTTTGCAATTCCAGCAGAAAGTCATTGCTATACTAATGCAGTATCAAGATCCGCAATGCTAAGTATTCCACCGTACTGATTGTTGACTTTCATAGCAAGTTTCAGGGTGCAAAACATTGCTCTGACAATATACAGTGGACCTTCGGGTTACGTGACCTTCAGGTAACTTTCGGGTTGCAAACGTGGCCAACCCGGAAGTATTTCATCACGTGCGCATGCGCAGTACCACTCTATCACGCCGCGTGCGTGCGCAGAAGCGGTGCCTCTAGATGCGGACTTTCTGGGGTACGTACGAATTAAGTTTCGTACCAGAATGAATTAAGTTCGTATCTGGAGGCTCCACTGTATAAACGTTACAAAAGTTGCATGATTAAGGAAGTATTCAGTTTTATCTCATTCAATATCTACAGAGAACTAAACAACACAAGCTATATATTAAGGAGATGTAATCGTAGTCAGAAAGTACATTTTCAGCCATCTTACTTATTTAAAAAACAGTATGTTGGCAAAAGTTGAACAACATCAAAAGGCTGTGGTTACATACCATTCTTACCTGTAAGGGTAAGAGCGTGTTACTGTTGCTGTCTGTTCGGAAAACATTATCTTCAATCCATGATTTAGGAGTCAGCGATGGAGTAGAACGAGTAAACTTGGGAGGAGCTATGACGTTACCAGAAAACGGCTTCTTTAAGGGAGAGATCTGGTTCATAGTTCCTGGAATTCCCATGTTTCCAGTTCTACGATGGTCTCTACCATGCACACTTCCCCAAGACATATTTCCTGTGCTCCAGCCAGTACTCTGATGGTTGCTCCAGGGTGATGTCTTCAGAAGAGGCTGAGGAGGGGAGGTGAAGGAGGAGAAATACTAAAGTTATTTGAAAATATTTCTGATCAATTTCTTAAAAAGTATTGGTAACACAGCCTAATCCTATGCATGACTGCTCAGAAATTATTTCTGCTGAATTCAGAATTCCGCTTACTCCCAAATAAGCTTAATACTACAATCTTATTAAAGCCAAATTGACTTTTTCTGGATCAGGGCAACAGGAGGAACACAAAACATAGTTCTTAGTTTTGATAAACCTAGCATATACAGTCATACCTCAGGTTAAAGACACTTGCTTTATACATACCACTGAAGGTTTCATACACATACACACACACAAAAGTAATAATAAGTATTTATCCTTATTTCAATAACACTATCTTCCTATATACATTTATTTTGATAAGTGAGGTGATTCTCTCAGAAGTATGCAAGGCTTAAAGTGCAACTCAAAATTAAGTCTTACTGTGTTCAATGGGGCTTGCCCCCAGGTGATCAAAGTATAAGACTGCACCTTTAATGTCCCACAGATATTTGCTAGCTCAACTGTCCATAATATTTATGTGTACTCAGCTCTTTATCTTTCAGACTGTTGGTGTGACAGAAATAACTGTTACAATTTTCAAAGGTTTTCTGACTAGTCACCTGGAAAAGATTCTTATTTATCACAGCTGATTGGGTGAGTGGCTATTTACAAGCTTAAGGTAGCTATATTTGGGGTTTTTTATGAAACAGCAAAAGCTAGGCCATAAAGCATCATCATATGCAATAAAAGCATAAGAAGTTGATGACTTAAGAAGTAAGTAAAAGCATAGTAGCCCTAGGAAAGGTAGAGGGATGGTCCAGGTTGAGGGGGGGGGGAGAGATATTGCACAGAATAACCATTCAAAATTCCTTCTTTAGCTTTTGGTACAATATTTTATGTCAAGTGATATGACGGAAAAGCTTTTCAATGACACTGATACGGGAACAGCTATAGCTGTGCAATGTGTCAACCTCCAATGTTAATAATTTAACACTTGGCTTAAAAAACAACAACCCCATACATTTAAAAAGAATTTGGGAGGGGCAACTTATAGTACTGCAACAACTAGAGGGCTACTATTCCCATTAGCTCCAGTCACCATGGCCAATCGTCAGGGACGATGAGAGCTAGTATCTCACAGGAACAGTCACGATATAATTATTTCAAAGTGAAATATTTTCAAGACTGTTGTGATACATCCTGGTGAAGAAGATATATAAACCATTTGGGTAGGATAATTAAGCAGACACTAAAGTCCTAAATAATTGCAGATAGACATGGTCAGTCTTGAATGTCTCATGCTGCAATTTTTAGGAGACATATGCATCATACTGTAAAACTAACAGTGAAGGTAACAGGATTTAACAGGATTTTCATCTTTACAGCTAGTCTGATGCCCACCAAGTACTACTATTTATAAAGCTTAAAGCACAAAAGGCAGAAGAGATTTCATTTGCTTTGTGAAAAACTTAGAAATTCTTTCTGTAATTCTTAGCTTGTCCAACAATAGACCGAATAGTGAATATCAACAATACTTTTAAAAAATCTTATTTTAGTTTCTCCATTAAATACAACTTATAATTCTTTTTTGTTTTGTCATTGTAGGTCTTTATTACAGAAACACAGTTGGTTACACAGACAATCATAATTAGATTCTACACCATCATGGGTGACATTTGATCTCAATCCACTTTTGACCTGCTAGGCAGCCACTTACTCTCAGCCATCTGTAAAATGGGAGCAGCAGCAATCTACTAGGCCAGCTTGTTCCAAGAAGAAGCAAGAGGCCTTTAACATTAAAGAGCTTTAAATGAATCAATAAACAGATTAGAAGGAAAATGTTTAATACTAAGCATAAATGTACAATACTAGAGCACAAACAAAATGCAGCACACTACCCGATGAACAAGGAAGTTTAAAGCTAGTCTGTTATAGAAAACATGAAACTGTAAACTTATATTACTGTGAGTATGCAGAGCTCATTGAAAGAAGAAAGCTTCCAACCAATGGGAGAAAAGGTTTTCAGCCCACCCATAAGGTAGCAGTAAGTGCTGCATGCAAAAAGACTGGGACAACCTGAAATACCACACTGAAACTTTTCTTGGCATCTACAGCTGCTTATGCAAGCTGCTTAGCACATAGCTCAGTGTTGCAAAATAAAACGTAAGCGGAAATTTGTGTACAGACCTATTCACAACCTGGATAAATCAAGATACTCAGTTTAAGCTGCTTTAGGCCAATTTATGGGTGTGTGGATTGGAATGCCAGATTTTGGACTACCACTTATGGTTGTTGGTTTACACATATGTATAACTCATTTAAACAAAAAACAGTCACTATAAACTAATAAACTTGTCCGAAACAGATGTTCAAAACTGCCCTGTTCTGTTCATTATGAAGTTATGATGTTGCTGATTCACTGCAAAATAAAACTATTGAATAAAAGCAAATAAAATATATAGGTAGCCAGTATAACAACCCAGTGAATATTGCTTAAACATAACTATAAGTTATGTAGACCCTTCATCATGGGCGTAGCCAGGATTTTGATTGATTCCCCCCCCCCCCCCGCTACACCCATGTCCTTCATAACTGAAATCCTGTGTATACTTATCCAGATGTAAGTTGTACTGAATACAGAACTTATTTATTTGGTAATTTATTTGGTTTGAAAAAACTGATAATCTGCTTTTTGAGCTCATACTCCACAAAGTGGCTATCATCGTTAGGTAAAAATACAATACAAAACCATTTACAAATATCCAGCGGAAAAACCCAATGCAAAATAAACAATAAAAACTAGCAGTAAAATTCAGCAGATCTCAGCATAGAAACCCTAGTTTATTTACAAGTAAACATGCATAAGATTGCACTGATTGTATTGTTAAGTGCATGAAATGTCTAGGCCATATTATATATACAGAGAATAAATATTTAATGGAAAAAGCCTAACCATGTTTACTCAGAAGTAAGTTCTACTGAATTCAATAGGGCTTTCTGCCAGTTAAGTGGGTTAAGACTGCAGATTTGATCAAGAGGACTGGGAAGAGAGAACAGCCAACTGAATGCTAGTACAGTAATTTATTAAGAATTACTGTAACAGAAACTAAGAAAAAGATGTGGGAGTTAAAGGTCTCCTTTGTCTTCCTAGGACTTCTTCACATATTACCGAATTCCAACAAAGAAAGCACTTTCATGTATTGCACAATGTAAGTCCAATACAGAACGCCATATGTGACAATTACACCTCAATGGTTGATTGCCCAATGCACACATACTGTGCAAAAAAAGCAGACATATAAGATCATCCACACACAACTGACCTACACACAGGATTCATTTTATCTTTATTTTTTTACGACTTATTTTTCACATTGGAATTTTGTAACTTGTGAAATCATCCTAAAGATTATAGGACATATTTATTCCACCTTGCCCCTACCCTGAGGTAACCTTTGCACTAGAAAAGCCATATACATGGTCACAAGTGTTCCCTTGTGGGCACATTGGACCGGGAGGTCAGGTGTGGTACATCTTGTCTACTCCCAACCCCTAGAAAAACTCCTCTCTCGGAAGGAAGGCACCTTGGGGCCCCCACCATCTTCCACTAGCCAGCTGGCGGCTTGACACTGCTCTGACACTTCAGCATGTGCATTTGTGTCCTTAAAAATCTCTCGCATGTGCGCGCACACAGCCTACCCAGGTGAACTCACTTCACTGTTCTCTTTGGCCCCCCAGCCCCTTCCTCATGCAGTCCCTCTCCTCAAAAACAGATTCCTGCCACAGCATACATGGCAAACTCTTCTTGAAAGAGAGCAACCCTATAGGACAGGGTTCAAGCCTGAGAAGCTTTAAACCTAAACAGAACTTGCCACCATATTTCCTTGGTCAATTTTCATGCATTCAAAATGAGTGTGTGTGTCCCCATTCTTTTATGTTTTCAGCAAAAACAATTTTTAAAGCAAAAATAACACGCATGCACACACGTGTTTCCAAAACAACCCCACTAAGGTCCTTCAATCATAGGACATCCTCTTTCGATACACACACACACACTCCTCTTTCTTTGACACACACAAACCCTGTTTCACCAGCAGCTTTCTGTAAGCAATTAAATTCCCTTTTACCCAGCCCTCCCGCCATTAAACAACCTACGGCCTTCCAAATGGGGGAGGACGACTGTTAATACACCGTTTCCCTGCGCGATCATGTATTCAATCGATCCATCGATAGGTCCAAACTGCTTCGCCGCGAATGCCTTCGGCGCGCCAGGGCGACTAGGAGGGCCAGATCGGGGAAACAGACAGTAATCGGCATCTTCTCCTACGGGTCGCCCCCCACCCCGGACCCCCGAGGCCCCCCGATTCCCGCAGCACCCACCTGGTGGTGGTTGTAGGAGTTCCTCTGCTGCAGGAAGGCGGCTGCCGCTGCGGCCGCGGCCGCCTGGTGTTGGTGGTGCTGCTGCTGCAGCTGCGGGCTGACGGGCGAGCGCCGGTTCTGCTGCTGCTGCTGCTGCTGCTGCTGAGGTAAACTGATCTGAGGCGGCGGCGGCGGCGGCGGCGCTGCGGAGAAGGGGCTTCCGAAAGGCCCCACGGAGGCGGCGGCGTGGGTCGACACGGGCGAGAAGCTCTGGAAGAAAGCCGGGTTGAGGGACGACGGCATCCCGCCGCCCGCCGCGTAGAAACTGCTGCCGCCCTCCGAAGACGACGACGACTCCGGGCTCGGCGGAGGAGCCATGGCGGCGGCTGAGGCGGCCGGAGGAGGCGGCTGCTGCTGCGGCGGCTGCTGGCCTGGCGGCGGTTGCTGAGGCGGCGGCGAGGTCTGCACCGACCACGGCGTGCCGAAGCTGGGCAGCGGCGGCGGCGGAGGGGAGGCCGCGGCTGCCGAGGAGGAGCCTCCGCCGTGAGGGCTGCCCAGCTCGGGGCTCTGCAGGCTGCTGAAGCCCGAGCCCAGCCCGCCGGGCAGGAGGCTCCCGGCGCTGCCCAGCAAGTGGCTGCTGCTGCTGCTGCTGGGGGGAGACTCCATAGGGAGGAGGGCGAGAAGGCGCCGCTTCACCACCACCGGGCAGCCGATGTCGGCGTCGCCGCCGGGCGCCACATCGGGGTCCAGCCGAGGGACGCCGTGAGTCCGCTGGCGGCGGCGGCGGCGGCGGCGCTTGGGCTGCTGCGCTGTGAGGAGAAAGGGCGAAGCGAGCCTTCGGGGCGGCTCAGCTCGCGAGGCGGCGGCGGCGCCGCTGAGGGAGAGGCGGGAGGCCGCCGCTGGGTGACACGCAGCAGGCGACTCCCTCGTCCGGGTCGGGGTTTAAAGCCGGCCGGGGCGGAGAGAAGAGGAGAGCGGGGGGTGGGGGCCGCCGGCGCCGCCCGCTTCGCCCGGCGCTCCAGCCTCGCCTTCCCCGCGGCCAGCCCCGCCGGCGGCACTCGCCCTCCCCGGACAAGCTGCGGCGGCTGCTCGGGGAAGCGGCGTCCGGAGCGGCGAGAAGGACCGAGGGCGACGCCTCCTCTGCTGCTGCTGCTGGCTCGGCGCTTTCCTTTTTCTCCCTCTCTGCAGCAGAGTCCGGCTCTTTCAGTCAATGCAAAGGCTGCTCTTCTTCTTTTCTCCCCCTCCTCGCTGCTGCCCAGTTTTTATTTTGTTGGGGGGGGGGCGGGGAGCCAATCTTCCTTCCTGGCTTGCTTCGCCCCCAAAGTACCCAGCGATGGCGAAACCAGACCTTCCCTGCTCGTTGCTAAAAGAGGCTGAAAAATCATGTATTTGGGTTCTTTGGGGGGGGGGGCAGGGGGCGGGGAGAAGTGGGGGAGGGTTTTAACTAACAAAAACCTGTCCTGGACCAAAAAAAAAGGGGGGGAGGGAACAACCACCGCCCTTCACGGAATAGAAATTGTCAAAGTTATTTTTTAAAAAAGATTCGGTATATGTATATCTAGAAGCAGCCCCTTTTATGACTGGTGTCCAACTCTATTGAATGGATTTCCTCACGTCACTAAAGTACTGGGGGAAAATCCCCCTGTGCTGAAAAATAGCCCCCGCTTTAAAGAAGACATTGAAAAAATTGTTGGAAAAAAAACCCTTCCGAAACCAGAGATTTCTTTCTCTCGGTCTGTACATAAATACATATATCTGCCTATCTATCGATCTCATTTATCTGCATAAAAACTGAAGCGATCCCCGCCGCCCTCGATCTCGTGCTCCCAGCAGCTCCTGTCAAAGCCCCTCCATGTTCTACTGTCCTGGCCCTACAAACGGCCTGCGCAAAAGAAAGGGCTGGGAAGGCACCCCCCCCCCTCCCCAAAGGGCGGCCGCCTCTTTTCCCTGCCCAGGATCCCCGCGTTTCGTTTCTTCCGCAGCCGGTCTGTCAGCCCCGCCTGAGCAGCGCCAGCCCCGCCGCAGCCGCCCGCATAAGAACCCGGAACTGCCGTCACGCATCACAATCCCGCCTCTCGCAAGTCTGTCAACGTCCCCGGCGCGCCCTCAGGCCCCGCCTCCTCTTTAATTATTCATGCGCCGTCGGCTCGTGTCTCTCCGTGGCGTCTTCGACGTCGGTTATTCGGCGCTGGGGGGGAAGCCGGACGAGACCAACGCGAGACATTTCATTAGGGGGGCTTTTCTTTTACAAAACATTGATTAACGCGGCCGGAGGGATACGTCGGCTGACACGGTGGAAAGCTAATTTGGGTGTTTTACTTGGCTACGTTGGGAAACAGCGTCTCCTCTCTCCCGACTTCCCCCAGGAAGCGCGGCGCAATCGGCTCTCCCAAGGCGCCTGACGTCACTCCAACGCCTTGTTCGCGTGGGACACGGTCCCGCCCACCACTCGCTTTGCAACGTCGTCAGTCGCTTTTCGCAAGCTGCGGCAAGTGGCTCGCTTTGGTTTTGATTCAGTATATTTCTATGCCTCTTTTCACTGAAATGAATCCCAAAGTGGCTCACAAACAACTAATAACGACAACATGGTAGAACACAACAGAACATCACAAAGGCAGCATAGATCATATAATTAACGCATCATCAGTGAAACAAACATTTACAATCTAAAGAACACTGTTAACAAAGCAACAACTAAAACAAGCTAAACATCACAATACAGCAAAAGTCACGTTTTAAGATTGACAAATAAATACAGCATTTATAAAGTAAAGCCCAGAGAGTGGGGGAGCGGGAACTAAGCTGGTGGGAACTTATCTGCTGGCTAGCAAGATGCAGATTCCCGCTCCTAATGTTTTATTATGTTTTTATATGTGCTGGAAGCCGCCCAGAGTGTCTGGGGCAACCCAGTCAGATGGTGGGGTACAAATTTAAAAAATAAAAATAAACAGCTATAAATATAGAAAGAAATGAAATAAATCAAACCTTGATCGATAGCATACAAACACACACACACACACACACACACACACACACACACACACTGTTAAAACCATGCAAATAATTACAATAATAAAATAATAAAAGCAACATGACGCTAGCCCTGTCATTAAGAGTAGTCAGTTCCCAAAAGCCTGTTGGAATCAGAAAGTCCTTCACTTGCTGGTGGAAGGATGGCAAGGAGGGAGGCAGTCTAGTTTCTCCAGAGAGGGAGTTCCATAGTTTCAGAGCAGCCACCACCGAGAAGGCCCTTGGTATCAGCTCCAGCCCTTTCTCATACAACCATTCTGTATCAAGTGGTGGAGTCTCTCCTGGAAGTTACATTTTTACATTGGTGAGACTGGTTGGAAAGCTTCAGCATGTTCCATACAAACATACATTTATCTGCCCAAGGTTGAGCATCTGAAAAACGGAAACATATCCCATTGTGGTCAGTTTGGGCTGGGGTGTGAGCCTATCCACCACTGCTGTGTGCCTGTTGCCTCTGGCCTCACCAGCTTTGGAGGAGACAAGGGAAGGGCAGCAGCCCCTGTACATAGCACACATAGAAGTGCTCTTGCTGGCCTCATCCTGCCCAGTACCCCAGCATACTAGCACATGCATGAAAATGTGCAATTGTCAAATAGAAAGTATTAAAAAAATAGTTTTGAGGATAATTATCAGCATGACAGGCTTTCTCCTACTCTTGTCTAACAACTGCTCTGAAAAAATGACAAAGCCGGCCAAAACCTTTCCACTTTGTTAGTTTAAGGCATGATTATCATTGGTACATCAGAATTCTGAGGGAAACACAAAGGGATGTGATAGTTGGGCATGACTGATGAACTGAAGGCCCTGCCTGATGCCCCTTTTGAACGTGATGCTATGAGGAAGGAAGCAGGACGTATAGTTGGATTGTACTTCCTGTTCCATGTGCTTCTAAAATCCCTCTTCCAGGGCATGAGTGGAAATGCAAAAGCGCCAATGGTTGGAGCTATGAGCTGCTCTTATCTGGCCCATTAGCTGTTCAGTTAGCCCTTTCAGATTTCAATGGTTTTGCGATTGTCTCCTTTTAATCAATCTTGAGAGAACCTTGAGGATCTTAAAGATGGTGCCCAAGACTCTGTTTGTTCCATTCTCCCTCTCTCATCTCCCATAGCTGTCAACTTACAGATTTGAAAATAAGGGACCAGCAGCCTTGAAAATAAGGGATCAGCAGCCAAAATAAGGGATTTTCGGAGCACAGGTATGTTCAACTTCTGAGCCCCTCCAAGCCAAAAGCAGAAAGCCCAGCCAGCAGCCAAACAAAGCCTCAAGCGGTGGTTCCCACAGCGCAGCAACCCGGCAAAGGGGATGCAGCAAGGAAAACCACCATCACCTCTCCGCTGGGAAGCGCTGAGCAAAGGCGAGTCCCCAGGTAACGCGGCCAATTTGATCGGCACAAGGCATGCTAGCTCCCAGTCGTTCTTAGACTCCTTATTGGGTAAGCAACGCAGCCAAGCAACACAGTTGGAGCCTCCCTCCTCCCTGGCCGGCAGGGAGGGAGGGAGAGGAGCTGCTTCCTTTGAAACCTGGGAAATTTAAGGGACATCATCAGTAAGGGACAGCAGCGGGACACGGCGCTGGGATAAGGGACTGTCCCTCCAAATAAGGGACGCTTGACAGCTATGTCATCTCCTCCCTCAAATTTGCCTTTCTCAATGCCAACAACAAAAGAAGAAGCAGTGCAAGCAGCTACTATTTCATTTAGAGGTTGCTGACCAGTTCTGATCTCTGAAGAAATAGGATGGGAGAAACTAGAAGACTATAGCAATGGTCTTTTAATATCTACAGTAATTTAAAATGAGGAAAAGAATCAAGACTTCTCTGTCATAAAAACCAATGTGTTTTTTTCTGGCAAGCTAATATGCAGCAGCACTTTGAATGATCTAGCAGCTTAGTACATAAACCACATTTCCCTCATTTTGCTGTACTGCAGATAAATTAGGATTCCTTCACTGCATGCTCCTTCATATAGCTGTCAGACGTACTCCTCCAGCCCTGGCCAATTTATATGAAAATTGTGTTCCTCGAGACTTTCCCAGGTCGTACCAAATAGTTATTAACAAAATATGAAGGCAGTTCACAAGTAAAACTGATTTATGCTTTTAAAACGGATTTTAAGGTCTTATACCTGGTACGAAGAAAGTGTACCAATGGGAAATTTCCACAAGCTATCTGCTTGCCTCTTGGACATAGTGGATAAAGGTACATGAGCTTGGCTGTCCATCTTTGCATGTAGTCCTATCGGTGCTTGCAAAAAATGAACACTTTCAAGCCACCTTTCCCTTTCACCAGCTCTGGCACCATTCTTGGATGTTGGAATGCATTTCACTTGATGCATCACAAGTTATGATTGCTATGATTTACAATGAACTGAAAAAAAAGTTTAAGATAACCTTTGTGAAAAATCCAGAAGCTTTTTTGCTAGGCATTTCAGGTCAAGATTTGCCAAAAGAGAAGAAAAAACTTTTCATGTGTGCTACAACTGCAGCTAGGATATTGCTAGTACAAAGATGGAAAAGTGTTGAAATACCAACTAAAGAAGAATGGCAAGGGAAACTGATGGAATATGCTGAAATGGCAAAACCAATGGAAAGACTTTGAGACAAGGACAATAGAGATTTTAAGAAAGACTGGGAACCATTCATATCATACTTACAGAATCAATGTAAAGAAATGGAATCACTTGCAGGGTTTGATTAAAAATGGCAAATGGACCCCTGACCATTAGGTCCACTCGTGACCGACTCTGGGGTTGCGGAGCTCATCTCGCTTTACTGGCCGAGGGAGCTGGCGTACAGCTTCCGGGTCATGTGGCCAGCATGACTAAGCCGCTTCTGGCGAACCAGAGCAGTGCACGGAAACGCTGTTTACCTTCCCGCCGGAGATTTGGGGATTCGAACCACTGACCTTCTGATCGGCAAGTCCTAGGCTCTGTGGTTTAACTCACAGCGCCACCTGCATCCCAAGGGTTTGATTAAACACTTGCAATTAAGAAAGCAAATGTAGGAAATAGAATGACGATGTTAAAATGATAAGAGAAGAATAATGACCATTTAATTTTTTTTAAAGAATAAGAAATAACAAATAAGCAGGAGGAGATAATATGCCAAAAAACCAGAAGAGGAAGCTGAGGGAAGTCGTGGAGGGAAGGGGGAAATTGGGGAATCGTATTTTTGTTATATGTTATGATATTTTTATGTTTTTTAAAAATGTAAAATCTCAATATTGAGTGATCCTTGCCATGCTGCAGAGGCAACTTCTTTCTCAGGAGAGCATCTTCAGCTGTGAATACATATTTTTCAATACATATGCTTCAATGACACTCAGCTGTCATGTCCATAACATATTTACCACCCACCAAGGATTCTTTGCCCCTCTTTGTGACCTCTTGCCTGCTTGCCATACTGCGGCCATGGGGCACAGATGGTACCGTCCTGTCAAGCTATGGCAGGTGACAGCGATGTTCAGTGATTGGTAATCATAGGCTGTAATTAGCCAGACTGGATGCAGACTCGGATAATAAGGAACCAGCCAGCTGCCAGTCATGAGACCTGGTCTTTTAGACTATGGTAGAATGGCCAGGGGTGAGAAGTAAAAGAGAGAAACAAATAAGCCTTCCTTTATTTCTTATTCAAATACAGTGGTACCTCGAGTTACAAATGCTTCAGGTTACAAACTCCGCTAACCTGGAAGAGTTACCTCGAGTTGAGAACTTTGCCCCAGGATGAGAACGGAAATTGTGTGCCGGTGGCGCTGCAGCAGCAAGAGGCCCCATTAGCGAAACCACGCCTCTAGTTAAGAACAGTTTCAGGTTAAGAACAGACCTCCGAAACGAATTAAGTTCGCAACTAGAGGTACCACTGTATATTATATGTGGAGAGCTCTTTTTTAAAACAAGTTTTTTAAAAACTCAACAACTCTGAGGGAAAGTCATTTCAAAGTTTTGCATAATTGGCATGTGAGCTCTTTAAAATTAAGTATGGGGAGGGGCAGTACCTCTGGTGGGGGGTACCTTGCACAGTGGCGGAGCTAGCTGCTCCTGCACCCGGAGTGGTGGGGTGATTGGCATGGTGGCGCAATCCTTGGGGGGGGGGCGATTGCAGCGTGGTGGCGTGATCCTCCCGGCGGTGGTCCAATTGTGGCACGATCCTCCGGGGGGGCGTTCCTGGCGAGGTGGCGCAATCCGCTTGGCAGGGTCCCTATCGTGGCGCTGCGGCATGATTCGTCCAGGGGGGATTTTGTCAGCCCCCTCTGGGATGGAACCCGGGGTGATCGCCCCCCGCCCCCCCTTCGTATGCCCCTGACCCTGCACTCAGCTTTCATTTGTGGCTGGTAAACCAGGAGACGGTAGCCAATGGGTCTCAAACCCTCAGTGAGCTTGGAACTTCCACTGGAGGGTCTGGCAGACTAAGCGGACAAGACCAACAGTGGGTCCAACAGTCAAGAAGGCGGTTTCTGCATGTGCTGTAGAGGGAAGTGGGGGGCAGATGGGGCTTGTCAAGCTGGGAAGGGAGCCCATCTAGGAGAAGGAAAACTCTGGTCCTAATCCTCCGCTGCCTAGTAAACTCTACACAAATCTGGAATGCAGTCCCTAAGACAGCTAGATGGTGCCTTCTGTGCCTCATGGAGTTGCTGTTTAGAAGGTTGGTGGTTCGAATCTGTGTGATGGGGTGAGCTCCCGTTGCTCTGTCCCTGCTCCTGCCAACCTAGCAGTTCAAAAGCAAGTCAAAGTGCAAGTAGATAAATAGGTACCGCTCCGGTGCGAAGGTAAACGGCATTTCTGTGCACTCTGGTTTCCGTCACGGTGTCCTCTTGCACCAGAAGTGGTTTAGTCCTGCTGGCTACATGACCCAGAAAGCTGTCTGTGGACAAACGCTGGCTCCCTCCGCCTGAAAAGCGAGATGAGCACCGCAACCCCATAGTTGCCTTTGACTGGACTTAACCATCCAGGGGTCCTTTACCGTTTACCTGTTTAAGCTGGTGTGTGTACATCTGAGAAGGCCATTGCTCATGCACAGATGACAGCTTCACAAATTGGGATTTGGGGCCTTGCCAGTGTGGGGAAAGCAGACAGGTAATGCACATCAGCTGAGGACATCCCTGCCCGCTCTCTGGTGTGTACAGCAGTTTGCAAATGCAGCTTGAAATGCAGCAAGGAAAAACGATCTTGCTGCCATTTAAGCTGCTAATGTGCACACAGCCCATGATCCCCTTATGTGGCACTTTCTATTATTTATTGCACTTTTATGCCACCTTTTCTGCAGGTTCTCAAAGCGGCATACATGCTTCTCTTCCTCCCATTTACATTTGAGGAAGGTTAGGCTGCGAGATTGTGACTGTTCCAAGGTCACCCAGTGAGTTTCATGGCTGAGCAGGGATTTGAACTCTGGTTTCCCAGGTCCTAGTCCAATGCTCTAATCACTACACCACACTGCCTCTTCTTGTGGTTCCCCATACCCCTGAGGTTCAGGCGACCTCTGCTAGGGCCCAAGCCTTTCAGGTGACATGTCTGCCCCATGGAACTCCCTGCCAGTAGAGGTTTGGTAGGAATCGTTCTTGCCTTTGTTTAGACTTCTCATTAAAACTGTGTTATTCAGACAAGTTGCTAACCAGTATTTTTTGCTGTTTTTACTTATGTTTTTATTGCTGTTATTGTATTATTATTATTATTATTATTATTATTATTATTATTTTGCCTTGCTGTATTTTTTTGGTGAAAGTGCAGTTTATAAATATTTAAACAAACCAACAAACCAATAAATATTATTATTACAGTGGTACCTCGGGTTACATACACTTCAGGTTATAGACTCCGCTAACCAAGAAATAGTACCTCGGGTTAAGAACTTTGCTTCAGGATGAGAACAGAAATCGTGCTCTGGTGGCGCGGCAGCAGCAGGAGGCCCCATTAGCTAAAGTGGTGCTTCAGGTTAAGAACAGTTTCAGGTTAAGAACAGACCTCCGGAACGAATTAAATTCTTAACCCGAGGTAGTATTATTATTATTATTATTATTATTAAACTTATTAGTTGCTTGCCATCCAGAGGTCTCCAAGCAACTTACACACACACAAACACACAAATACACATAGTTATAATCAAAGGAGTGAGTGAATTAAACATGCTTAACAAGGGGATAGAAGAAAAATGAAATATATTTAAATGCTATGGAATGGGATAAATGAACACAATGGGACAAATTAAGTCCCAGATCTAATATAATAATTTTCAAGTAAAAATGTCAACTTTGTATACGGTATTTAAATTTTTGAAACCATTTTATAAGAACTAAATCAAACCTTTGCACATTTTTCATACACCTGGTAAATGATTTATTTTATTGCATTAGCTGGATTTCCCTGAAATTGCACAATCTCTTGTGGTCCATGGAAAAACTGGCAGCTTTAGGAAGAGTCAAGCACAAGAGAAAAGTTAATGATTTTCTTGATTCCCCTCACTAGTTTGTTCCACTATGAAATGGGGACATTAATGTTACAATGGCATGTCACCGTTTTTAAAAACAAGCCAGTGTCAGAGAACATTTCATTTTATGCAATAACCCACACCCACCCACACCCGCCTGCCTCCTGAAATTTAAATTCTATCTATTAAGAACAGATACTTGTAATCCTTCAGGGCTGCTGTGCAGAATGATCTGGATGACCTTCCCTTTATGAAAAGCCATTCTGATGTCATAGAAAATAGATATGGCATCTATAAATAAATTATTCAGAGCTTGGTGCGGAGATGGAGTTACACGTTGCTATTGTTAAGAGGGGAATATGTAAAGCCTGACCCCAGAGTGCAGCTGTTATCTTCGTGATTGGTATTCTGCATTTCCTATTGTTTGTGATTACAACATACAAGTGGGGCAGGGAAGCCGGGGGGGGGGGGGATGGGGAGAGAGAAAAGGATGCCTGTGCATGGAGAAAATTTGGCCTCAGCGCTGATTGCAATTATGGGCTTCTTAGCTCAGGAGCTATTAGTCTGGAGGAGCAGGTTCAGTCGCTGCTCCCCAGCGCACCCCGTTCTCCCCCACCACCCGAATCTGCAATTTCAGGGGAAGTGAATGTGCTCACCTTCTGTGTTTTCCAGCTGGACTTTACCCAGGCGACACAAACTGAATTGTGTCAACAGATGGCAGAAAAAAGGAGGACATAAAAGACAGTATCTCAAGTCTGAAATATTAAACAGGTGCAGAGGTAAGGAAAACTAAATGATCAAAAGCCCAAGATAGAGAGTAATAACTGTGCCTCTTAGTGTCTCACATCTACTGTCCTCTCTCTCTCTCCCTGCAGTAATAATTTGAAGGAAGGATGCATTTAAATGGCGTATTCCGAAGGCGCACAAAGGAGATGCGAAGATATGCTTTTGCTGAACTGTGGCCTAGCTGTGGCGGACGTGTCAGCTTGTGAGGGACACTGAGTTGCTCTTCACACACAGTATTATATAAGCTAAAAGTCCAAATACACCCCCCTCCACTAATGGATATGGGTCTAGTAAAAGGAATCTCTGCCCTTCATCTTTTGGAGCAGCAAAGTGCTCACGTTCTTTTCCGTGAAAGCAGAACATGTCTGCTGAAAGAAAAGCACCATAGCGCTCTAAACTTTGAATGCAGCGCATGATATCTGGCAGAAAGCATTTGTTCCAAGGCTCCCCCCGCCCCAACGCTGCCAGCTGGCATTACTATAATGCTTAGTAATGTGAGGTTGCAGAATCTTTCTCTCCCTTCAAGATTCCATTGTTAAAGACAATCATAATGATAAACCTTAGCAATTATATAGTTTATTTTGCATGTTCAAAGCATATCAAATCACATTATCTCTGTAATCTTTACAGAGATCCTGTAACTCATGCTTAGATCTTTACGGGGTGTGACAATACCTCTTTATTTTTCCCAAATGTGCCCTGTACTGCTTTCAGTCCCCCACTGCAATGCTCTCATGTTCCTATTGCCTCTGCTCTTTTAACATATATGATTTGTTATCTTGAAGCATTTGTTTGTTTGTTTAAATATCAAACCAGCACAACTAAACATAACTACTTATTAAAGTGCCTGGGTAGGACAAAATGTTTTCACAAAGCATACAGGCCTACAGAGTTGGGAGGGCATTCTAAACTCATGGTACCCTTTGCCCGTACTCATGTTCTGCCTTCTTCATAATCTGCTTTGTAAGCCTGTTAGTCTCCAGAGCAGCCTGACACCCATCCTTTATCAATGAGCTTGACCTCTAGTGCCAAGTGACTCCCGTGGAATGGCTGCAAAATGCATGGGCCAGCCCAATGCAGCTTTCACGAACCCTCAAAAATATATCTGTATCACCAACAGATAATCCCAGAAACATCTGCAAGATTCCTGTGTAGTCAACATGGCAAATGTTGCATTTTTAAATGGGTAGCTCTGCATGATGACCTTCGTCGGGAGAGAGACAGGGGAAATGTGACCTTGCGAATTCTCCTCAACCTGTCAGCAGCTTCCGATACCATCAGTCACGGCATCCTTCTGGAGAGACTGTCTGAGTTGCGGGTCGGTGGCATCGCTTTGTGGTGATTCTGGTCCTACTTGGATGGTGATGCTTTTCAGCCCTGTGGAGCCTTCAACGTGGAGTTCCTCAGGGCTCAGTTTGATGCCCTATGCTATTTAACATCTGCATATTTGCACTTTTATCTTGTTTTTTTTTTTTATCTTGTGAACCGCCCTGAGATCTTTTGATGAAGGACTGTGGTTAAATCTAATAAATAAATAGAAACAGTGATATAAGTAGTTATGACTTTGAAATATATCACACTGGATTGGAGGAGAGGGCAGACTTTATTGCCATTATGACAGTCATCCATTCCAGGCTTAGGGGCCCTAAAGGAACTGCAGGAGACAGTGGGAAGTGATGAGGGATGGGCATGGCAGGAAACTGGCGTAGTATCATCACATGGAATGGGAATACTAGGGCTGATGAGAGAGCCATCTCTCTCCCTCTCACTCTTTGGCGGCACTGTGCAGCCCAGCAAAGCACAACTCCAGGCTTCAGGGTGATATGAGGGTGGTCCTTTCTCATGTGGTTGGAGAACTATTCTAAAGCAGGGTTTGGGCACATGGTAGATAGCAAAGGCAAACTGAACTCAAGAGATTTAAAAAAGAAAACTATGAGGGTCATTTTGTTTTTGTAATGGTCAAACCTTGGACTGCAACCATACATAATGAAAGAAAACAAAAAAGAGAACACAATGCCATTGAACATTTCTTTTATTAGGGAAGAAATGTATAGTATATCTGCAATGCAAACAATATCACATTTCAAATACTCAGTTTGCATCTATTGCTACAGTGTCAAATTCATAATCTTAGCATGTGATTTCCAGAAATGTAGAAATAAACTCCCATTTTGCCAGAACCTCATGATATGTTCTTCATTCTCTTATCTTCATATATTAAGTAACCTTTCTGTGAAAGCTATATCCTATATCTCCAATAACTAATCTACAATTTAAAAGTCATGTGATTTCAGGAATGATGGGAGTGTCATTCTGAGCGACATTATGTGGGGGGAAATGGTCCCCCGTGACAGGCAGTGGGCACTGGCCTCCCTCCCTCAGAATGACACCATGTCATGATGTAGCCTTGTCCCAGGGCGTATTGTTCTGGGCTGGGGAGGACAATGGCAGCCACATGCAGCAGGAGGTCTGCAGGAGTCCCACCAAGTTCCATGTTCCCTCAGAGACACCACAATTCACAGCCAGAAGGGGTTAGAGAAATAGGGTGACAAAGTGAGTTCAGCCGCAGCTGAGTTTTCTGAGGTTGTATGAAATGTCTGACTTGAAGGGAGTTTTGAAATGGGAAATCAGTATTCTCCACAGGCAATTCTTATTAGTGAATAAATGGACAACTTTCTACTCATCAATCCATCCAGTGGGAGCTGCCCTCATTCATCTGTCAAAGTTTCACAAAAAAACCATCCTTGTTGAACTTGTCCATAAACAGAACTGATGGCAAGAGGGATCTGTCTGGATCAGTTTTCCAATCCTCAGAAGACTTTCATTCAAAGTTTTAATCTGCACTCTTATCTAATACTGACGTCAGTCCACAAAACATATTCCAGTGGAGTTTTAAAATAATTTTCTTCTAGCTCCCTCCATGGAGAATTACCTCCTGCTAAAACCCATCTTGCCAGGAAGTGTAGATGACATAGGAGCATAAGGCAATAACAAGAAGACCTAAGCCCTCGTCCCCAGGGAGTCTTGCCAGAGTAGCTTTCGTTACTCTTGGACGTTTGTCATGCCATACAAAATTCAAAAGATTTCCCCCATTCTCTAAGTTTCACTGGTGAAATATTAATGGGTGGATTATGGAACAGGAACATCAACTACAGCACAACTTTCTAATGCCCCACTTTTTAAAAAAGTTAATGCTTTGCAGGAAAAAAGTTCTGTTTGCGCACATTGCATTTCAGAAAGCATAAATATTTTAACATTTCAAAGGCACTCTGCCGAAAGGAAAGGTTTTAAATGTAGAGTTACCAGCTGTGTTTTACTTTGCTGGTGTGAATATGTGTGTGTGCATCTTACTTCTCAGGTCTGATATATCTGTGAGGCCATTGTGTGCCATAAAGAATAGTAGAGAATGATCAGTCTATGACCTGCCTGTATTTTATTGTTAGATATCTCACAGTGTAGTCCTATTCAGGTCTACACAGAGGTAAGTCCCATGGAGTTCTACAGGACGTACATCTAAAATTCCTATGTGATTTTTAAAAAATGGTTGGGATCACCCTATTAGCATGTAGCAATCACACTGCTTCAGGCAGTCCTCAGTCCCATGCTGCCGACATTCTGTCTCTTCTTGGCCATTCAGCATAGCTTGAGCAAGAAGCAAAGTCCAGAAGGACTCGTGTGATGGCCTGGGATTCCGATTCGGAGGATGAAACAGAGGAATCCCGGCCTGCACAGGAGTCCCCGCCTCCAGGGCCGGCTGAACTGGGGCAAGGCCTTGATGCTGAAGAGCCTGCACCTGTGGCAGTGCATCAGGAGCTGGCCCCAGGTGAAGCCCTTCGGGCCCCAGAGGGGCTTGATGACTCAGTGGCCACAGGTGAGCCTCCTCCAGGGCCCAGTAACCCTTCGGCCTCTCCTGATCTGCAGAGGCTTAGGGCAGAGAGGCGAAGGGAACTGGTTGCCCCCAGGAGGAGTGCTCGCCTTAAGGCCAGAGGAGGCGGGGCTCCTGGGGACCGGGACCGCCCTGGCCTTAGAAGAGGATAAAAGCCCAGTCAGCCCGGCCCCAGGTTGCGGGAGCAACGTCGTTGTTGGCTTCGGACCTTCCTGTGTTCCTGATCCCTGCTCGGCTTCCTGTTCCTGACTATCCGGTACTCCTGTTCCCTGCTCGGCCTCCTGTTCCCGACCATCCGGTGTTCCTGTTCCCTGCACAGCCTCCTGTTCCAGCATTCCTGTTCCCCGCCCGGCTCTCTGCCTCGGACCTTGCCCCTCTTCGTGTGGACTCTGCTACACCCAAGGTACCTTACCCCGGGACCAGCACAGTTTGCTCCCGCCAAACCCGCACTCCCCTTCGTAGGGGTGCGTTCGGGAAGAGCCAGAGGCCATGGCTGACCAGGCGGCTGCACTGGTGGCTTTGGCCCAGAAGAACCAGGCCTTGACTCACACCGTGCAGCAGCTCAGTGACGCGGTTGTGGCACTTCAACAACGCTTGGAAGCCCTACCGGCTCCTGGGGCCGACGCCCGGCTCCTGGCAAGTACCCAGTGGCTTTGCCTGAGAAATCTGATGGAGCCCCGGCCAGCTTTCCCATGTTCCTGGCCCAGGCCAAGCTGTATATTCAGGGGCGAGCCCGGAACTTTCCTGACGACCGCACCAAGGTGCACTTTTTGATTAGTTTGTTAAAGGACCAGGCGGCCAAGTGGGCGTTGCCGCTACTCAGGCAAGACTCCCCTTGCTGGCAGACTATACGGGGTTTTGCAATCGTTTGGAGGCCGCGTTCGGCAACCCCCAGAAAGGGGTCAAGCCAACCGGGCGATTCGGCGTTTGAAACAGGGCAAGTCCACGGTGGCCGCATATACCACGGAGTTTCGGCTGTTGGCACAGGACTTGACCTGGAATGATTCGGCACTGCGGGACCAGTATCTCGAAGGGCTTTCGGACGAGGTACTGGACCAGTTGGCCACAATGGAACGCCCCACCACGCTAGACACTCTCATTCAACGGAGTCTACAAATAGACGACCGGTTGGAGGATCGTCGTCAGGCCCGGGGTCGCCGACACTTCCAGTTCACGGCACCAGCTTTTTCCGGCAGCCCCACGGTCACAACTGATTTAACGGAGGAGCCTATGCAGCTCGGGGCAGTGCGGCCACGCCTTTCCCCGCAGAGAAGGCGCGGCGTCGGGAGGGAAATCTCTGTCTTTACTGTGGCGGAAGTGGACACTTCGCTCGGTCTTGCCCTGAGAAACGCCAGCCGCAGGGAAACCGCCAACCCCAGTAGCTGATGGCCCTAGCTGCCGGGGGTCCCAAACCATGCAGAATGGGCCTGCATCAATGGACTCGCAACATCTTATGGTTCCGGTACGTTTATACCCTCCAGGTGGGCCCTGGATCCCCACCCATGCTTTGGTGGATTCAGGGGCAACCCGCTCTTATATGGACGCTGCTTTTGCCGCCCATCATCAGGTGCCACTTCGGAACAAGCCAGTACCGGTCCAGGTGGAAGCGATTGACGGACGACTTCTGTGTTCAGGTGCCGTTACTCAGGAGACCCAGCCCCTGGTCCTGTGTTTCCAGCAGCACCGGGAGTTGCGAACTTTGGACATTGCCTCTATGCCCCGCTTCCCCTGGTGCTGGGGATGGACTGGCTGGAAGCCCACAACGTTCAGATTCACTGGGTCAAACGGACCGTGCACTTCCCAGACCCATGTTCCCATGCTCAATCCGGGACGCTGGCGGCCGCGCCTCAGAGGAGGCAGCACCCACGCTCCCAGCCGTGTATCAGGACTACCAGGACGTGTTCGAGGAACGGGGGCAGACCAGCTGCCGCCGCATCGGCCTTTGACTGCGGCATAGACCTCCAACCCGGAGCGCCTCTACCAGTGAGTCGCTTATATTCTCTAACAGAGCCAGAGCGCGAGGCTTTGCAGGACTTCTTGCGCAAGAACCTGGAGCGTGGGTTCATTAGGGCCGTCCACCTCGCCTACCGCGGCACCAGTGCTTTTCGTTAAGAAGAAATGTGGGAACTCCGCCCTTGCCATGATTACCGAGCCTTGAACAAAATTACCGTCCCAGACCGATACCCCTTGCCCCTTATCTCGGAGCTGCTGGAGCGGGTGCAAGGGGCACAGGTGTTCACCAAGCTGGACCTCCGGGGGGCCTACAACTTGATTCGGATCCGAGCCGGGGATGAGTGGAAGACAGCGTTTGGGACCCGGTACGGGCAGTTCGAATATTTGGTTATGCCTTTCGGGTTGTGCAACGCGCCTGCTGTGTTCCAACGCTACATCAACCACGTGTTTCAGGACTTGTTAGACAAGTACGTGGTGGTGTATTTGGATGACATACTGATTTACTCCCGTGACCCGGCTCGCCATGAGGGACATGTCCGGACCGTGCTGCAGCGCTTGCGTGAGCACCGTTTGTACGCAAAGCTCAGCAAGTGCGAGTTCCATCAGCGGACTGTGGACTTCCTTGGTCACCGGCTCTCTCCGGATGG